GAGGAAAGGGAAGGAAAGGATCACGTTAAAATGGGAGTTTTGTTCCATTTTAAGCAGAATGGAAGGATATTCTGGATCCAGGTTTTCTGTTGAAGCATGTCTTTCAGCTTCATTGAATGCTGAGGTGACAGCATTTCCTTAATCTAGACCTATTGTGTTTAAATTGGGAAATTTTAATTTGAATATTTCTGCAGTAGTAAAATATACAAAACAGGAGCTAGAGCTTCAGGAAGGAGTGTGCCTTGGAGTAAGTTTCCCATTCTTCAGGATGTCTGAAGCCTCTAAACTGCACATTATAGATGACAATACACTTTCCTCAACAGGTTGGAAAAAGCACTTGGATTTAATTATAGCATCTAGATTTCTGTATAGAAAAATATAGGTTATGTTCTGACATCTGTGGATAATGGCAGGATATGGTTCTGTGTGGACCACTTCAAGTCCAGGATGTCTCCCACCAAATCCAAGTGAATGTGTTGGCTGCTCTGTTAGACTGTTGATGTCTCTGTGCTTTCAGCAGTCTCACTTGCTTGGCAGCACTGTGTGCTACTTGGCAGTGTTATTTGGCTGCCTCTGGCCATTCAGGATATGTGGCACCAAATGGACAAATCAACTCCCAACTTTTCATGCAGGGGTACCTCATGCTAACACAAAACTCTCTTGAGATGTAGGTAGATTTGGGGTTGATTCATGGAAAAACTATCACAGTTGGCCCCCATCATGCTCCTTGTTTCCAGACTGTGGCAGATCAATCCTAAAGCTGATTGACAGATAAGTAGTTCAGGTCTGTCAGAATTGGAGCTTACACTCTGAGTAGTGCAGAAGAGTGGACTTGTAACGGCTGCAGAAGCAGAATTGTGCAGATGTAGTTGTGCTCTATATAAATTAAATTCAGCTAAACACCAAGATGCTTCAGCATTAAGCCAGTTTGGTTATCTGCATGTTTGATGCACAACTCAGGCAACTGAGAGTTTACTGTACTTCTGGTGTCTCTGTTGGTCATCAGTATTGTATAGATATTTTTTGTTTGTTTTGGTTCTCAAAATGGATCTGCTTTGCTATAATGAGACCAAGTTAGTCATTGTATTAAATTAGTCAAAATGAATACTAGGTGAGGGAAATCAAGGAAGCATGTGTGAGGTGTTGAAAATTATTTATGCGCAGGAAGGTATTGTGTTGAGCTCTGCATCATGGAAAGGACTCAGGGCAACAGTTCCAGATATCATGTGGTCTTACTGAGTATTTTTCATCTCTACGCATGTAAATTTCTGTGCTATAAAGATTTTTTTAAAGAATGTCAGCAATGAAGACCAATTCATCCTTCACAGTATTAAATATGTTCTTCCTTTGAGAGTGTCAGTACCGAATGAGTTTCTGCACACAAATGCTATAGCAAAGACAAGTTTCTGCAGCCTCTATAAATATACTTTCTAAATCAGCAGCTAGATTAAACCTGGTAAGATAAAATGTAATTAAATCCTGCAACAAGAAGACTGGAGTTAAAATTGACATCCTTGTTTTTGAGCATTTATGGGAATTTAAGGGAAGACAAAAAATTCATCCTCATATGTTTGTCTTAATGACTTTTGGCTGTTAAAGGACCAAAAATATTAGTTTTCCTAATTTATTAAAGGAGACTATGAAGTGCCTATCAAGCAGGACTTTGAAAACAGCACTGGAATTAGATAATGTAAAAAACTGTAATGGATGAGATTGGAATACAAGTGTAGGTAGAAGTATGACATCAACTTAGAAGAAAGACAACACTGTCTAAAAAGGAAAACTAGGTAGAGAAGGGGAGTGCAATATTCAGAGATGTGACGTTTACTGGTGGAAGCTCAGTAAATCAGTTTCTTGATATGGCTACAGTGCTTAAACCATAAAGTTCACCTCTGGAAAGGATTGCAAGCGCTTATCTTCTGTAATAGTGTATGCCTTTCTTAGTATTTTCCTTTGAATGACTAAAATGGAATTTCCAGGCAAAATACAAAGCTTTTAGGGACTGGCTAAATAATAGGTATTGTTTTTATGAACATTTCTGCTTGTAGTTCTGGATTGTTCAGTCGTGGTGGTCCAATGATAGAGGCAAAAATGCTTGTAATCTTAATGCAGAAGATTATAGAGCTTCTTTCTAAACACCAGTTAGTTCAGGTGCTTTTGAATATTCTTACATAGCAAATTACCATAAATATAAACAAAAGTTAACATCATATCTGCTTAATCTGTAGCAGCGTATTGCAATGAGTCTTTAACTGGCTTCGAAAATGAGTAATTTAAAATGTTGTATTTTGGCAAATCATCAAAATCAATTTCCTGTTACAGGGATAGTTTCTCTTAGTTTTATATTCTCTGAAATAACCTTTTCTCTATGAATTTATTCATGCTTGAATGACATGACTCAGCTACCACTAAGCAGAAACAATTCTATCAGGTTCAAGTTTCGTGAGTGTAGTAGAATTATCTCCTTACATCTGCATGGCTTGTGAAGTGCTTGGTTGCAGTTCATTAGCTCCTTTTGAGTACCTGGGGAAAAAAATTGAGCACTTGAAAGGGATTCCTAGTGTTGAGAGATTAATTACTTTTTTTCTCGATGTTTTCATATAGGAGCATTGAATGCTTCATTTAATAAATCAGAACATGAGAAAGCAGATAATAAAATTCAGAACAGAGATGTGACTGATAGCTATAGAAAAAATTGACAACAAAACATATGGCTGTTTAATGGAAGGAATCTCTTGTCACAGCAAAGCCACATAGAAGAACCTCTTGATTAATTTTTAGTGCATCTTCCAAAATATGATTTCTCTGTGTTCTTTTTTGTCTTTACTGACTTCTGCTCCTTGATGCAAGGATTTTTTTTCAGTCACATTCCTCATATGGTAGGAAAAAAGTTCTAAGACTCGGACTTAGAACTAAGTTTAATTTCTCATCTGGACTGTAACAGAAATTATCTAGTTTGCCCTCAGGAACTGAAATGGCTATAAATTCAGATCTTGCTTGGCTAAGATTGTTTATTCCTCTCTCTACCCCTTTGTAACAAGTTTTCATAATCATGGTGTTTTCTGCACCCCTGGGAAACAATTCATTGTGTGTCAAGTTCACTAGTGTCTTGTTCATAAGTCACATGTCCAATCATTCTCCCAGGTCATTGTGTAGTAATGATGGGATTGTCACTTGACTGTCATGACAAACTGTATCCCTATCTCCTGGAGCAATTTTCAATGCAGGACAAATCATCAGTTTTCTTTATATATCACAACTGTTTTCTACCTGAAATTATAAGCTTGTGCATCAATTACACCTTGGTGGTTCTTGCTCTGTTATGAACTACTGTGACAAAAGGTTGAAAAAATTCTGAGACAAGTTTTCTTAAAAATGTCTTATGTCCTCTGTTAACCTGCACATTCGTAGTCTATTGAGACCATTTGAGTTCACTGTGGGCTCACTACAGTGTGTGCTTTGCAAGGTTCTAGTGCTATAAGCTGGGTGGTTTTCACTAAAGGGATTTGTTCCTTTTTTTCCTCCCTCTGTGAGTCAACGTAGGCTCAGTTCATGAGTGGGTAAGGGATAGTCTAGTTTTTATCCCAAAGTTCTGTTGTGTTGAAAATTTATTAATAGTCTTTATTTTAATTTATTTTAATTCATTAAGAACTTACTGTGAAGACTCATGAAATCTCAGCTGATTTATATTAACTCTCTTTCCTGCACTTTGAGTTCTTGTAATTTGGCTTTCAGTCTGTAACTTGAACTATTGCAATCATTACTGAAAATATAACTTGTTAATGGGAACTGCCTTCATTTCCTGCACTTGTTATTTTTCTCATCTCTTCACCCAAGCAAGAAGTGCCAGTAGTGTGATCCTGTGAGTTGGGATATCTAAGTATGCATGTGAGCTGATAGCTTCTGTTGCTTTGATAACAGTTTTGTATTTTCAGAGTATCACAGTGCATATAATTTGTGCTTTTTCTATTTTAAAAGACCTAACATCACAATCCAACTAACAAAACCCAAGAGCTTGGCAGGGTAAGCATTTTTTTGGAGAAGAAATTTATATCTTCAAAGTGTTAATAACAGAAACTTTTTTATATATCATGACTTGAAATTTCTTAATTCTGAAACTGCAGGACAAGTAAATACACTTGCAATGGAATGAGTAAAATGTTTCATTTCAAGCTAGGATCATTGTATTCCAATACAAAACAGAATAAAAAATTAATCCACTTCAAAATAATATTTTGGAAAATGTAAAAATAATAAACTGTTGAAATTCTTTTTCCTGCTGTTGCTCTTTTCACACTGGTTTTTAGTTTGGATCAAAACTTGGAAATTAAACCTGCACTGTGTATACTGATGGAATATGGTCTTATGTTTCTGTTGCCAGCTTCCAAAGTATATGTGTTCTGACAGCCATATCCTACATATTAATCAGCAGTGTATTTTTTTCCAGTGAACAACATGATAAAAATTATACACAACAGGATTTATTATTGCTCCAATAAATTTGTTTGAGCTGAAAACACTTGAATTTTATTCTATAAGGCCAAGAACGGTTTTAGCTCTGATACCTCAAAGGTCAGCTTTTTCCTTTTGTGATAAGGATTGTCTACTTCTGTATTGGAATAGATTCAAACCAGACTATTCCAACATTTGAAGGGGCTGGGAGTGGATGGTAATGTAATTTCTGGAAGAATTGTCTTTTGAAGCTCACTCTGAGCTCTCTGTCTGGATATGACAACTGTGAGAAGAGGGTTTATTGCAAATATGGTCTCTAAATGCTGTAAAATAAAGAAAAGGGAATTTCATTTGTTGATAATGCAAGTGAAACAAAAGGCTATAATGGGTTTAAATTTTATATGCTGTCTTAATGAATTATTAGCAGCAAGATATGTTTAAATAATATTTCTTTTTACAGTGATGGTTAGTGTTAATAACTGAAGCGTAGACAGTTTGAGACTTGAAAAGTCTAAGCATTATGCATGTCTATATATATGTGCACACAGGAAACCTCGACCTGTCTCACAGCTGGTTGCACAACAGGTTCCTCAGCAATTTGTGCCCCCTACACAATCAAAGAAAGAGAAAAAAGACAAAGTAGAAAAGGAAAAAAGTGAAAAGGAAACAACAAGCAAAAAGAACAGTCATAAGAAAACCAGGTAAAAAATTTAGAAACTTTTGCGGTATTTATAAAATGTCATTTACGAACAAAAATAAGAAAGTGTTCTTTGATTTTACTGCTTTCTAAGTGCTATGGCAAACAGTTAAGTTATATATTGGTGTGAAGTTTTATTCGTTTAGGCTGTCTATAAAATACGAAGACCTGCAGTGTGTACTTGTGGCCAGAAGATGGAGATCAGCTGAACAGAGAAAGGAAGACTTTTTAAGGGTTATTTAGTATATTGTTTTAAGGGTGTATAGAAGTATTTTTCATACCATACAAAACTGTTGATAGGCAAATTGATGATATTAATCTCTGGAAAAAAAGAGGGTATGAGAGGGAATAGTTTTCATGCAAAATAGTAGCGGGAGGGGAGACTATCAGTACCAGACTACAGATGAGTAGGGAAAATAACGTAGTTATTGATAGCCTTGTAGAACTCTTCAGCTTTGAAGGCCTGAACTAGGGCATAAATTAATCTGACAGGATAAGGTATGTCAATTACCTAGTGACAGAACTTTCTATGCCACATCTGGGATGCTGAAGGACTCTTAGAAGTGAAAACATGAAATATTGCAGTACAGACAAGCAGTTGTAAAAGCCTTGATCTTGCTGTAAGGAAGGAGGGTGCAAACTGCTAAACAAAAGCAGCAGGTTTAACCCCTAATTCATCAAAATCTAAAATGTGGAACTATTGATTTTTTTTTTTTTTTTGGAAGCACTCCAAAATAGCCCAGCCAAGAAATATCCTTTGGGATTAGTTAGGCAGAGAAGTACCAGATGCTTCTGTTGTGCCTGAAATAGGATCATTAGGATCAGAACAAGGGAGAGACTGAGAATCAGTAGAGAGTAGTCATTAGGAGAGTCATGATTAGGATTAAGGACACAGAGGTGTTGTTTCCTTTCCCTTTTTCTTTTTTAAATACTCAAATTTGCAAGCTTACCTCATGCAGCCAAAGTACTTCAGTTATGAAGCATTTGATGTTAGCATAGTGAGCTTTAGTTAAGCCAATTATAAATTGAAATATTAATGGGTAAATTGCAATAATACAGTAAAAATGCAAAAAGTGAGATAGGGAAAGATTAAGGAAATTAGAAAAATAACTAAAATAAAATCTTGGATTGAAATACCAGTATGACCTTGCATTAAGAATTGACTTTTTTTAATGCTTCAAACAGTTAATTTTTTCCAAGAATTGTTTCACTAGATATGATAGTAAGTTAAGTTTAGGCAGATTTCTTCAGTATTCTTTGAGAAAAGGATATCCTTTTCTTTTTGCCTTAAAATGTATATATTATTGCTGGAAACAACTACAAAAATCTTCATGCACTCTCAGTATAATTAATAAGCTCCAGGTACACAGCACTTGCACAAGTTGATTATTCTGAAGTTTTCACTCTATTCCCATGATGTGCATCAGCAGATTTTCAGATTTTTCTGAGTTGCTTCAGTCATGCTGCTTCAGGCTCAGGGGAGCACGATGTCAAAGCCTATCTCGGTTGTAGTGGAGAAAAGGCATGAGTTGTTTCAGCTGAAGTGAATGGGAACCAATTCTACTTCAAGCAAAGTTGATGATAGGGTGAAGGTTAGAGCTTTGCTATTATCATATCTGCAAACATGTGGTGTCATTATTTTATTGCAGCTTGAGCCAGTGGTAGCTGTGGAGCCAGTTAAACGCACAAACAGTGCTGTTCATAACTGCTTGTATGAATTCAGCTGTCTGGTATCAGTTTTTCATGATGATCATGTGAAAGGACTAAATTGAAAGTATTTTATGCATGCCACTAGCAAAAATATGATGGCAAAACTTAAGTGTGGCATGATATTGAAAAATCAAACAATTGAAGACTGAATGAAGATCCTTACTCCGCCAACACTAGGTATCATTCATTTCTGCATAATTTAAAACAGACCCTATACCAGGAATACCAGAGTTATACTGTGAATACAAAGTCCAGTTCAAATAGAATACTAGTGGTCCTAGTGAGATTTTGAAATGAGGTAACACCTGCTGCAAGTTAAGACTGTCTGTGCTGTTGATTTCAAAAGACAAACACCAATATCTTCATTACTGAACATCATTTTCTCTTAGAATTGTTGCTTCAGGCTGCTGCAGAGATGGATGTTTCCCTGGATCAAATTTATAACTTTGCACAATAAAGTCACAATAAAGAAAGAATTGGGATTTAAAAGTAAAAACCTTCACATACTGCTGCATAGTGATATTATTCAAAATGTCAACTTCTAAATAGTTTTAGGAGATGGTAATGTGTTATATTCAACTATCTGAATGTAAAACATACTAGGAAACACTCCACTGTTAATACTTCTGGTACTTTGTTCTCCTACCTATTACATGCTGCAAAAAGAAGTCTTACATACACATTTGTTCTCCTGAGTTCCTAAAAAGTAGAAGGGAGACAAGATAATAAGATGGTGTGTGTGCTTTTAATATGATTATTTGCTTTATTTAGGCCAAGGTTGAAAAATGTGGATCGAAGTAGTGCTCAGCATTTGGAAGTTACCGTTGGAGATCTGACAGTCATTATTACAGACTTTAAGGAGAAAACTAAGTCACCACCTGCTTCCAGTGCTGCTTCTGCAGATCAACACAGTCAGAGTGGTTCTAGCTCTGACAACACAGAGAGAGGAATGTCCAGGTCATCCTCACCCAGAGGAGAAGCATCGTCACTGAATGGGGAATCTCATTAAAGTTTATTTCCTCCAGTTTCATTAGTCTCTTCAAAACATGCAAATACGTAAGTTCTGTCACCACATTTTCATGACAGATTAGTCATGCATAATTGATATGTTGACTGGAACACAATGCAATTTAATAAAAAGAAAGAAACAAAGTGCAGTAATAGAAACAGTAACAGCACGAAGCTCAGTCAGGGGAGGTTTAGGTTAGATACCACAAAAGGTTTCTCACCCAGAGGGTGTCTGGGCACTGGAACAGGCTCCCCAGGGAAGCGGTCACAGCACCAGCCTGACAGAGTTCAAGAAGTATTTGGACAATGCTCTCAGGTGCATGGTGTGACTCTTGGGGCCATCCTGTGCATGGCCAGAATTTGGACTCAATGGTCCTTTTTGGTCCCTTCCAACTCAGCTTATTTTGTGATTCTGTAGTAATTTAAATGCTATCTACAAATGCTTAAGCATCTTCAGACCAACTTTTTAATCTACATGTGTAAGGGTGCCATGAAAATGTGGTTTGAATGTTCATTATGCAGTGTTATTGGTATGTCCATTTTCACTTTTAGTTTAGTGAATTCTAACACAACTCTTGGAAGCTCTACTATTGGCATGTACTGAATTTAAATTTTTATAACATAGTTCAAGCTGCCTAAATATGTATTATTTGAGAATTGTGAAACATAGTTATATGTATGCAAGTCAAAGATCAACTTAATCAATTATTGCTGCAACAGAATTTTCATAATAATTATCTTCTTAAAAACACCTGCTGGTACTTGGTGTGGTTAAATAGGAAAAATGTTATTAAAGAAAACATTTGTATGGATTTTTGCCAATGTTTGACACATTTTACTAGATTACTGTTACTGAATTATGTTGATGGTTTTACCAATATTTTTTGACACTTAAAACACTTATTGCAATGTTTACAAGCAAAATAGAAAACACATTCTAAGCATTGATTAGTTAACCTTGCAATTCAGGTAAAGTACTGCATTGTCGCTGTACACTGGTATTTTGTGTTGTGTAACAAATACTGAACCTCAGATGGTGATGCATTTGGCAAAAACTATTTGGAAATATGAAAGTTTGGAAAAGCTTTAAAAAGATCTGCAGTTCTCATTTCTGCTTAGTGCTGTTTCCTTGCCCCAGATTTTTCTAGTGTCACATAGTCACTTATGTCAGTACAGGAATATCTGATGTTGCACAAGAATAAGGAAATAATAATTCTATTTTTTTTTTTTTTTGTTCCTGAATCAATTTTTTTAAATATTGAATTGGCCTGCTAGAATATATTATGTCATAAATCATTTGAAAAAGACTCAGTATCCTACTTTATGGCATAAGCTGTCAATATTTACGCACTTAGCAATATACTGATAAAGAGCAGAACTATTTACAATACCATCTGGTATTATGTAAAATTACCAATAAAATATTTTTGTGAATACAGATTTTGCATTTTTGTTTACAACCAATAAGTGTTTTGATACATACATACAATTCATGTATAGATTTTAAATTATATAATGTGGTTCAGTACAAAAGTCCATTTAGCTCCTTTTAGTGAGGTAGGGCACTTACACTCCCGTGAACCTTTTCTTTTTCATTCAAAGTAAATATATTTTTAAGCCTATGTGAAAGTTGGATGGACCTTCTTGGTAGTGAATCCAGCCCCAAATTACTACCCACATATGATATGTCTTCTTAACGGCTTAAAATAATGGATTTTTGTAGCCCCTGACAATTGTGATGTTTGGTGGTTTCTTGTAGTAATGTATTTTTCTGTTTTTAATGCAGTACTTCTACAGGCACAATGGTACTGTTCTATTTTGTAAGATGCTAGTTGTGAAATACAGTTAGTTGCATAAAATGAGAGTCTGATGTGATATCTGAGAACATACATACCTCATTCCTTGGTGTTGCTGTTTAAACTTTTTAGATATCAAATGTTAATTATAGGCTGTTTCAGATGGATAACTACTGACCTGTTTATTATGTATTCTGCTTTATCTTACTGAAAATAGGATGTCTGTTCATTGCTGTTACCTGGCCAAATTTAGTATCTGTAAAACATGCTTTTTAAGGTACTTAAATGTTTTTGGGGCCGGGCTAGTGTTCAGAATAACTTACACTAGTTTTTAAAAGAAAAAATACATGCTTCTCAACTTTATTTTTTTATATTTTATTTTTAGGTGGGACTGTTTGCAGAATATACTGATATAATGGATTACAAAAGAGCTGAAACTGTTTAAAGTAAGCAGTTTAGGGTTGTAAATCTCATTGCAAGAAGTTTTATGAAATGTGTTTATGAATGTTTATGAAATGTGATTATGGAATTTGAAATGTAATGAATTCTAACACATTTCAGAATTCCTTGCAAAGAAATAGTAATCTATTACCAGTATTTCATTAAATGGGAAATGTATTTTTATTTCAGTTTATGTGAATAAACCACCCAGCATTGCCAACAAAAGGACTCTATCTCCAGAATTAAGTAGCCTCTTGGTTTGAAAGGAAGGATGAAGTGGATTTTACTATGATTCAACTGTCTCTAGAGAATAGTCTCAAAAATGTGGAACAAGTATGGTTATCAAAAATAATGCAGAAAGTCTCAGTGTTCATTATGGAACAAGACATTGAAGAGCAATTTCTACTACAGGTGCTAAAGAAGTCAGCTAGGATCTTAAAAGCTGTGGTGGTTTTAACTGAACAATTAGGTTGCCAGAGTTTTATTGCAATGATGCTTGTTTTAGCATTAAGCAAAGTTAAGTTTTTGCCTGTTGGTGATTAAAAGAATATGACAATACTGACAGCAGAGTAGACAAATTCTAAGCAAAATATTGCATTTGAGTCTGTTCATAATATAATTTAAATGAACTTCACTTCCATAATTTCTAAATAATTTTGACTTGTAGTAATCCTAAATCCTTTTTTCTAACTGTAAATATATTTAAAAGCATCTTTACTCCATTTATAAAAAGTGAAAATTTAATGTTGTAATGTGTTCTGATTAGCTATTTTTCTCTGTGATTGCTCTCTGCATAAGAACTGTTATTTGTTAAATCTATATATGCATCAGTCTTCAACAGCCATACATCCTGGGATGTTCATGAAATGATGGCTCCACAAGGACAAGTGTGATAGTGTTCCATGTAAATGAGTTCCTTTATGTGCTGATTGATTGTCTGGTTTCAGAAAGGAAAAGGGGGGAGAAATGGGGGAAAATAAGTATAAATAGTTCATTGATCAAGTGTACAGTAATTCAGTCTCTTATCTTCCTAACTTTGCTATTAATTACAGGTGGTATAAGAAAAAGAACAAATATACAGTTGACTGATCTCTTTTTTTTCATGAATTTAAATCTACGTATTGGAGATAAAAATTCTTCTACTCAGTAGCAGGTTGAATTATACCATATAAAATCTTGATTCCAACAAAGGAGGTAGTAATAAATAAATTACATTTCAAAATTTAAAATTCTTGATATTAAGAGTCAATAATTAAGAATATGACTGAAGTTTTAACCTATTATGTGTTTATCTAGATATTTGATGTTTTGGGGCATAGATTGTAAAATCTCAAAAACAGTTTGATTTTATAATTTGTACACTTTACATTTTTTTCAATATTATGAGTAACACATTTTCAAGTAGCCATGCGAGACAGTACTTTCTAGAATTTGTTCAATTGGTTCAGTGTAGTGTTTAAGCAAGTCTTCTGAACTTCACATCTTGCATCTCAAATTCTTTACTTTTTTCCTCTCCTGTCTCAAAAGCCTGACAGTTTCCTATGTTTTGCTGATTGATTTTACTTTGTTAACAGGATTGATTTGGCATGGAACTGTCTATTGTGTACTTTTTATCCAGGGTTCTTTAACTGTATCTGTTTGTGTTTTTTTTTTTTTTCCTGTGACATGCCTTTATTTGGCTCTTCTCCCTCCTAGGGAGTGTGGGTATAATTCATTCAAAATCAGAAATTGTAGGGAAATAGAAAGGCATTTACATTTAATTTCTCCAAAGGCAACAGCAAGTGCTATACTTGTAATAAATTTAGCCTGTGTTTACTCAGGAATAAGATAGAAAAGATAAAAAGTTAATGCTGGCTTTGGCAAGTGGACCAGTCAGTCAAATGTGGCATTTTGAAAATGCTTACTTTTATCTCAATGTTAAGATTTGGGTGTGCTGGAAACACAGCTTGAGCTTTCAGAGGTTTTCTTAACCTGAAATTATGCCCCAACTTATGTCAGAGCAGTCTCAGTTTGAAAGGTTATAACTTCAAACTAGCAAAAACTGTACAGTAAAAACAGGCAAACTGTAGAAGCTCAGATGGGGTTTTTTGTGTTGTTAAAGTTTTAAAAAGAGGAGAAAGGGTTAAAAGAGACTTAGAAGACTTGTCTAAGACCACAATCATATTTAGATTAGCTTGACATCTAAAGAACCCATGTTTTAACAGGAATTAACAGGATTTAACCACTAATTAGACTTGGAAAATTACTTCATAAGTGAATTACAAATCAGTGCTCTATAGAAATTATTGTAACTTCCTGTTTAGAATGGAGTAAATGGTACAACAGCAATGGAAATCTGCATGCTTGCTGAAAAATGCTATTATCCAACAGCATGTGATGTTTACATGATTTTGCTAAGACATTATGCCAAAAGATTGTGATGTCTGTGAATGAGGCCTAAATTGTACCACTAGATGCAAACAGTGAAAGAAAATGCAGTGAAAAAACAAACAGTTTCAGATCCTAGTCTTAGTAATGCAGGAGCTTATTACAGCCTCTATTTAAGTGTGTTGGTAAAAATTAATAAAAACAAGCCACCACTGAATCACTCTGTATTCAATCCTAATCTTGCCCCTTTTATTATGGAGACAGATAAAAGTCATCAGAATGAACTTGCTCTGTTCTTGCTAATGGCAGATTTTAAAAGTAGACAGTTTAATGTGCACAGGAAGTTGTAGGTGTACTTTTAAGAAGCTAAACATGGAAGATAAAGGGCAAAAGCATATTCTATAGCTCTTAATGATTATTATTAATAATGATTATGAGAGATTGCTGTCCCATTTGGGGTTTTGTAAAAGACAAAATTGTAACCTTATCTAATAGCTCTTTTCCATATGCTGAAAAAGAAAATTACCACCAAAAATATTGTTCAGTAACAATAGTCTAAAAAGTAGTTCTAAAATTTTAATTTTCTGGAAAGTATAGTATATCTTGGCAGATGGAGGACTATTTGAGCAGGACTATACTTTCAGGATCTAGGCCACCTGGAAAAGTGTAGTCTTTGGTTACACTGTTTCCTGTCATGGTTTAACCCCACCTGGCAAGTAAGTACAGTGACTGGAGTAGACAAACACCATCCCTCCAAACATTTTCCTCTTTCTTCTTCTTCCCTCAGCCACACATGCTGAGCAGAACACCACATGGTCTGGGATATCCCTGTGGTCAGCTGTCCCCTCACAATTCCTTGTGCACCCCCTGCCTCCTCACTGGTGTGACAATAGGAGAAACAGAAAAAGCCTAGACTCTGTGTAACCTCTGCTCAGCAACAGCTGAACTATCTCTGTGTTATCAACAGTGTTTCCAGCACAAATCTAAAACACAGCCACATGCCAGCTACTGTGAAGAAAATTAACTGTCCCAGCCAAAACCAGCACATCTGCATATAAATACTGATCTTGGTCAAAGCAAAGTGAACATGCTTCCTCAAGCTTTTAAGACATGCAGCTGTAGACCAATGGAGCTCTAATTTACAGTGGAGCTACTGAGAAGATAGCTGAGGAAAGGAGACAATTGATGTATTTTTTTTTGATAGCTTGCTAACCACAGGCATGTAATTTTCCTCTTCTGTATGAAGAAACAAAAGGATGCAGAAAAAGGAAATAAATGTGACCCAGGCTCATGAAATGTGGCTCATGACCCTCTTCCCAAGATCACTAGATTCTACAAACTGCAAATGCTGTTTGGTTCAAAGATAGTCCCAGTTATTTGTCACTAAAGAAGGATGGAGTTGTTCAATTACTTTGCATCTGTTAAGACAAGTGAGAGGTAAGGCCAGTTCTACTTTCTGAATACTCACTTTGTGAACACAGAGATCTAATTTGCCATTTATATGCATCTAATATACAGCTGTCATCCATGAATCTATTTCAAGCTGATTCTTCTTTGCACAGAATAAATAAAAATGCTTCAATGACAAGCCCAGTTCCTGATGGCACAGATCTCTGAGCAGGAAAGTCTGGCATCTGATTGATCATCTCTTTCTGTAACAGCCTTCAGCTATTAATTGCCTAGAATTAATCTAGGCAAGGGAAATCTCTTCAGGTTACATGTATTATCATTACTCCCACCTCTGAAGGAAACACATTCTGATTCCTGATACCTTCTTCTCTCTTCTGTTTCTCTTAAATACATTTATAGTATAAGTGGATGCAGTGAGTTTGAAATAATTTATTATGCCTGCTTTTTAAAGTGGGGAATTTGACTGCTGTTCCCAGTTCTTGAACTATATTTTGGTTTCTTTAAGATCAGCATGGTGTCATACAGAATAATGGCATGTGAGAGCTTAGAGGTCAATATCAATTTTGTCACTGTTGCCTTTGTTTCTATATAATTGACTACCTGAAGAGATTCTTGCTGAGCAAACTTAGTTACACTGATTGTGTACCATTCAAGCATTCTGTCTGAGGTATCTGGCATTCTATGATGCCAATTATCTGTATTTCTGCAAATGGTGTCATTCTATGCTGGGAGGCTTCCAAATGTGGCAAAATAAGCAAAATACTTTCCAGGTGATGGAGGCAAATGTTGCCAAGTAAAATGCTTTTAGTCCCCACTGGAGAAGGAGATCTGAGGAGCATGCACAGATACTGAGTGCTTTCTCTGCTTTCCTACTGAAATCCCAAGTAGGAAACTTCTTTTTCTAAAATGTCAGACACCTTCAAAAACCCCCAGTCCAATAAAAAAACAGAGTAATAAGGAGGGGGAAAGGAAGAACAAAGAAAATGTATTTTCAGACTAATCCCTAGAAAAGCCATATAATGGCTTCTTTGTCTTTTTTGTCTGTTTAGTGTCCCTATCTCTATGTACTGTACTGGAAGTAGGCAACACACACTTCTTAGAGGTATGTCTTGCTGTATAACTCTTGATGGCTGTTGGTTGAATGACATTTGGACTAAAGATGTAGGGTTTTGTGAATTAAATAGTAACTACCATGAATATTCACTCTTGTATACAAGTTATTTATTGAAAGGGTGGAAGTTTAGATGAAAGAGTTAGGAACAAAATGAATTCCTGTCATACAATTAGCTACTACACAATTTTAAAGGGTCTAATTCCTGGACTGCTAAGAAAAGGATAGCTTTATGTTGCAAGGGTGATATGAACCTAGACTAGAATGGATGTGGCTTCTGAAGAGTTTTGTGGCCAGTAATTCATACGGCTGTTTTCAGTGATTATTCCACACCTTAACCTGTTTATCTTGAAGTGTTGTTAGAGCATCCTCACAAACAAATCAAAACTACCAACAGTACTGTCAGATGCTCTTAAAATTTACTAAGTGCCTTACACAGAGCATCACTGAGGCAATGATTCAATTGCAAGGAAGTTTGATAAAAGATTTACTCCTCTGGTTGAAGTCACAGGTTGTTGGTTGTAACCAAGGTTATGTTCCTGGTTATACACATTAGAATCTTACATTTTATTGCTGATAGGAGTACCTAATAAAAAACAGTCCAGAAATTTTTGAGGCTTTCAATTTGTAAAACACCCATTGTTTGGAGGAGATTTTTTCTTTTAGCCAATTGTGATGGTCTACTGGAATATCACAGAAGTGAATAAAACTTGTGAGTATTTCTGGATGCTTTCACATTTCTCAGTTTCTCAGTCAAGGACGGTATTACCTTTCTTGGGAAGGGGTATCTAAGTTGGTTTTGTTCATAGGGATTATGTTTATCCAACTAGTTTTTAAAGGATTTTATTATTAGAAAAAGGGCTTGTTATTTTGAAAACAAAAATCTTACCTGCCAGGTGTCTTCCCCAAAATGAGTAAGTGCCTTTTCTGTTCTGACTCTTAGAAGTATTTACTTTGTCAGATTGAATCTGAATGTCCTGGATAAACCAACTATGAAGTACCAAGTGTTACCAATGGCTTGAAATCCTTTCACTGAACAACAAGAGACAGATTGTAAGCCACTTGAATTGTTTTGAGACCTGATGTTATCAGAAGTTTTATAACTGCTACGAGTAGTATACTTCTAAGAACAATGTAACTTTTCAGGAACTTGATATTGATAGGAAATAAATATTTATTAGAAGGAGTATATTAAATAAATATTTATTTACCAATTTGAGTAAGAGAAAATGTTACACCATGGGGGCAACAGTCTTGCTGTTAGCAGTCCTGACTACTTAATGGAAAGTAAAACTGAGGCCCTGGACACTAACTATAAAAAAAGGGGTAGTATTTGGTGAGAGATTTGGACTGTGAATCTTGTGTCCACATTCTAATAAAGTAATTTTTCCTACCTAAGTGTTTACCAATTCTCAAGCAGAAAAGAAAGCATGAGCAGATATCAGTAAGAGGCCCTCTGGTTTAATTGGTGCTGCTTCCTATCTCTGGTGGATTTTTTTTTATTTTTTTTTAAACTTTGCTCAGGACTGGTACAGCTGAAAGTATATTTTCCCTTCATTCTTAAGCCTAGACTTTGAATGGAGTTTCTCTGAGACACTTTTGTAGTGAAATCGTATTCCCTACAAACATTGAAGACAAAAATAAACATCTCTGTGAATGAAAGATCTTGTGTGGTTGTAGTTTTTTAATATGCACAAATTTAATTTTAAAAAATCTAAAGGTACTCTAAGAAAAACATAGTATATTATCTACTTAAAAAGTCTCTGTGTAACACTCAGAAAGTACAATTTGCATCTGGAGATGCTACAAATTTTCTGTCTGATAAACTATATTCAATTCTATCATAGCACTCTTTTAAAGATGACCATACATTAACCCCCTGGGATACAGCCTCCAACTGACCTCTTCCTCACCTCAGTTCAAAGACTATATTAAACAATTTAAAATTCTGAAAGCTCGGCAGGAAAGCTGAGGGGAAGTGTCTGGAAAGAAAGAAACAGAAGGTATCACAGTGCAAAGACTAATTTTTTTTTTTTTACTATGATAAATGGTACACAATTAATGATAATGGAATTGTTTAAAGACTTACATCCCTATAGTTATTTCACATTGATAACATATTGTTGGTTTCAGAGGAGCATAAATAGATGTTTTTGATGCCTAGAATAGTGACAAACATTGAAATGCCTTTCCCAGGAATAAATACTTCTTGCCTGTGAATAATCTGACAAGGAAGTATTTTTGGTGAAAATTAATGTAAGTGGACTACAACCTTGACTGGCATTGAGATGCTTAGGGTGTGTTATGATAAAATGGTAAATAAAATTATTAAGTTCAGAATGCCTCTCTGAATATATTATTTGTACTGTCTAGGAGAAAGTGCAAGAAGTACAAGTGGGCACAAACAGGATAAACAGCAGACTTCTTTGGGGATAAACTGCAGATTTTGGGAATTTGATCTCAAAATGCCAAGAAGCCTCTGCTAATTTATTAGCAGAGATGATTCATTACTGCTTTTGGTTATGATGGAAGTTGAGATATTCCTGGAAGTACTGCTTCTGAAGGAAGAAACTATGAAAGCATCCATGCTTGCAAATTAAAGTAACCAATGAGGTAAGAAACTTGAGAAGGAGGCTTTGTCTAAGGCTTCATCTCATTGTATATAAAAACTGTGCTTTGCTACTGAAGCAGGCTATAAAACAGTGGTCTGTGTGGGTTCTCTCAATTGGTCTTCAATTCTACAGTTCCCATGTTCAGTTGTCTGAATTGTTGCCTTGCAGCATGAGGCAAAGGTCCTACAAGGCATTCTTAAAAGAAGCTGATTCTCTTGTAAAGGCCATTGGAGTTTCCCATTTGTGTAGCAGGTAATTGAAGTGTCGGCCATGAGTATAGGAGCTCATCCCCGCTCCAAGGAGGCAGCATGTAAGGCTGGGATCTCCTTGGGTGGAGAATGCTTTAAAAGCCACCCTGTCTTTATTGGGCATAGATCCCCAAGTGCAGGCAGCAAGTGCTGGGAAACTGTTGACATAACTACCAAATTTGGTACCAGCAGAAATACTGACTAAATTGGCATCAGATACCAGAATAGGGCTATTGTGACTAATTAAAGGGGTCTAATTTAGTCTTTCTTACTCATCTATTTTGCAAGAACAGGAGGGATTCAAAAGAGGAGAACAAGTTGTTAAGCCCTTCTATCACCCTTTTATTCATTTCTTTCTGCTATTGACTGTTCGGCAAGACTGCTACACAATTATGGGTCTGAAGATCAAAACAAATTTCTTAAATTCCACACAAATGTTTTGGCAGCCATGGGAGATCACAGCATTCCCCTGCAGATATGGGCCTGGTGCCTGGAGATAGTTTAGGACAGTGTCCAATTTCATTTTACCCTTTCTTGTCCTGAAAAAAAAAGAAAAGTAAAAACTAAATTTGTAAAGCTACAGATTAAAGATGGGTAAAGGAAGGCTGAGTTATGTGTACATACAGTCCTGAGTTAGCAGAACTTTAAATTATTTTGGATGTTTCAGGCTCAAAGTTCAGCGCTCCACAATATCCCAACTCCTCGCTGGCTCTGCTGCCACTCGTGCAGCGGAATGGTCTGAGGGCAATCCAGTTGACACCATAGATAAGGCAGTGTGATGGCTGCACACCCAGGGTAGGCTGGCTGCTCACAGCACACACTTGGGTGAGCTTCGGGCATGGCCGAGGCTGCCACCAGCTGTGAGGGTGCTGGGTACCTTAGGCACTTGTCTGTGATTTGGCTGTTCTATTCAGTGTTAAAAGGAGCAGTCAGTGAAAAGGGCAATATTAGTGTCCTATCTCTTCCTGGTGATTCAAGTACTAAGTGCTTTAAACAACTACGACATTTGACTGCTTTTGAAGCAGTCATGGTTTTGAATTCTTATTTATGAAAATTCAGCAACCCTTAGAGAAAAAGATGTAGAGACAAACAGTAGCATTTTCTTTCTCTGTCTCTGACATTGTCTCTACACTGGTTTACATGTAAAATTCTACTTGAAGAGGGAGTAAAATCAGGGTACAGATTAACAAAATATAATGGTAAATAAATTGGCAAAGTCATTTAACACTTTACCTGGTTGGAGTGACTGACCACTTTCCAAAACATCTCCTTACTGAATGACCATCTGTTGTCTTTTCCATTTGAAATAGGAGCTACTGGCTCCAGTGTATCATCTGCCTTGCATTGCTAAATGGCTCTGAGACCTGACAACTCTCCTATACCTCTGTTTGCACTCATAAGGACAGCTGACAGTTGTCATCTAATTTTTTTTTTCATTTTAGCTGTTTGCTAGATGTAATTTCGCTTTCCAAGACATGCAGCCTTTTTTTGATTGTAACTAACAATAAAATGCATAAAATGTTTACATCAAATATGAAATAAACCCCACCCCTAAAATAAAAGGGTGGGTTTTTTGTTTATGGTCTGAATATTTCCTGGGCTAATGCATTCATTTTAAAGATCTTAAAAAAATGCGAATAGGATAACATACTTAATACAAGTAGTATAAACTCACTGTATGGAATCTGCACTTTTACTGTGAAATGGAAAAAATAAAAAATACCTTAGATAACTACTTTCAGATTATTTGATATATTACATCTTAAAAATTGAACTTTGAAGGCATAATGCAAAGTTACTGTTGTGCGTGGTTACTGCTAGTAAATATTTTTTCTGTTAGAGATGAAAAAATGTTTTATAGAAATTCAAAAACCCTGATCTGGGTATCGGGACTCAAAACACCCGATGCTGTAGCAAACAACAGCAGGACAGAATAAGGACTTTTAAACTTAATATATATAAATAAACAAAAAAGTAAACACAAGCCCTTCCTGCTTTATTTCTCTATTCATTGTATATGGTACGTATTTGCATAAGTAAGAACGTTTGCTTTGACTCTTTGCAAAAGTACTTTAAACACAAATCATAGAATCACAGAATGGTTTGGGTTGGAAGAGACCTTAAAGGTCATTTAGTTCCAACCCCCCTGCCATGGGCAGGGACACCTTCCTCTAGACTGGGTTGCTCAAAGCCCCATCCAGCCTGGCTTTGAAAACTTCTAGGGATGGGGCATCCACAGCTTCTCTGGGCAACTTTTTCTGATGTTCTACATCTTCATAGCAATTTTTTTCTTATATCTAACCTAAACCTACCTTCTTTCAGATTAAGGCCATTTCTCCTTGTCTTACCAATTACATACCCTTGTAAGAAGTCCCTCTCCAGCTCTCTTTTTGGCCCCTTTGGGTACTGGGGGGCTGCAGGTAGGTCTCCCCAGAGCCTTCTCCCAGCTGAACAAGCCCAGCTCTCTCAGTCTGTCTTCACAGGAGAGATCCTCCAGCCCTCGGTCATCGTCGCAGCCCTCCTCTGGACTCTCTCAGCAGGTCCGTGTCCTTATGTTGGGGACCCCAGAGCTGGACACAGTACTACAGGTGGGCTCTTCTGAGAGTGGAGTAGAGGGACAGAATCCCCTCCCTTGCTCTGCTGGCCATGCTGCTTTCATGCAGCTCAGGACCCGTTTGGCTTTCTGGGCTGTGAGCACACTTTGCTGGGTCATGTTGAGCTTCTCGTCAACCTCTGGTTTAGAGACAAGGATATTGTGTGGGATGTTTCAAATGTTTGCACAAGTGCAGATGTATGGCATCTCTGCACTTCCCTCATCCATCAGCATTCTAAGCCCACTGCAGAGGGTCACCAAATTTGTCAGGCACAATTTGCCCTCAGTAAAGCCATACTGGCTGTCACCTATCTCCTCTTTATTATACCCATGCCAGGTACGGTCTTTGGAAAGTTTCAGATGATGCAAAGAAATAAAAGTCCAACATTGACAATCCCTTCTGGACTGATGTTCAGGAGCTCCAAATGTAGAAATCTTTTCAGAAAAAAGCACTTGACACAAAAACATTGAAAAAAAGACAAAAAGAAAATTATCTTTGTGCTCCTAGAAAGTATTCATTCTGCTTTTTTAATGTGGTTAACTACTAAATAGTGTGCAAGTATACATATATACATGCTTACTGATTTAGAGCATGAAACTTGAACTTTCTTAAGAGGAATGATACAAATATTTTGACTAATGTTTAATAACTTACAATTATTCACAGAGTGTACTATTGATAAAGAAATAATTGATTCAAATTAGAAGAAATTAGGAAATTTGCAAAGTATCACACCACTTCCTAAACAGTTTACAAGGCAGCTTACTTAATTTTGTGCACTATTGTCCTCAGTGTTTTTCCTATTTCTATTGTCCTTGGGTGCTATTGTGATTATCAACAATAATTGCAAAATATTTTTAGCTCCTGCTTGAAGTAGGTTGAACACACTACAATGCTAAACAATGAGAGCTAAATAGGAAAGGAATGGGGGAAGGTAATAATATTTTGGTTACTAATGAAAATTGATTTTGAGAGTTTTTGTTAATATTTTTATACACTAGGAAATTTTTAGGGGTAGATACAATAAGAGTGGAAGGCAGTTGTACCAAGCTAAGTCTTTTTCTTAAAAGTTAATAGGCAGACAAAAAAGTGATTTCTGGCAGCAAGAGAACAGGGTCATTGCCCCAAGAAGTCTGATGATACCATATGTACAACACATGGCAGCAAGGCAGTTTCTTCCTACTTACCCATCCTTGCAATCTATCATAGCCAAGTGCTGACACCCCAGCTTGTATGAAAGGGTACGTGAACATCAAAGGAAGTGTCTTTGCCTTTGAAAAACCCTTAACTGGTCTGCATACAGGGCAGTGTTGACACAAATCTATCAGCACAAAATCTTACTGCTTTACCAACTTAATTAATGGTTTAATTTTGTGGAAGAACAAAACCAGGGGGAATTATACAAATGCAACTGATTAGGACTTTTTTTTTTTTTTAAAGTAAGCTGATCTGATTTATCTCTTTATCTAATGAGTTGTTAGAATGTTGGTTTCCTTTTCTGGCTCACAGTGACTGCTCTTATGACCCTTATGAACCCACTTGCAGAATTATCAGACGCCGATTCTTTAAAAAAATTGTCACCTGTAGTTTATTAAGATAGTCTTTTTCTGGATTTGAGCTGTTTTCTGGAAGTAGTAAATATAATTGAACACTAAAGATACAAGAGATACATGGCTAAATAACTAAATGCTAGTCAAGAAAAGGATTAAATATTTAGAATCATTAATAAAAGGAGATAATCTTGCATCTGATTGTAACTCTTCATGTTTAAAGTTAATTAAGGACTAGCAGACCTTGTAGCATAAAATGTTACATATTGTTCATAAACTATTCATGGTGAGTAATAAAGATATATAATTATAAATCTTTAAAGAATTTATAAAATTAATTGGGTAATTATATACCATCTGATAATGTTTTTTTTCCTCAGTGATACAGTTTAGGTATGACATTTCCATGACGTTTGCTTATTTTCCTTATTCACAAGGCCAAGTTTGTAGTAAGAAGCATTTTATCTTTTATCAGACCAACTGATACTTAGATGGTAAGTACTTTTTAGAACTTTCATAAAATGGACAGATTTTGCAGTTTGAAAAAAAGCCTTGTGTGTGTGTGTAAGTTTAGCTGTTTTTTTCTCCCCAATAGCAACAGAGGGCTTAACAAAGATGCTTTCTCTCTGACCTTGCCTTAGTTATATTCTTAGAACACTACAGATATGTTCTCATTCATTAATTATTCACATATTTTTGAACAGCACTGAATGAACATCAGTCCTTAAATTCATACTTGAGTAATGACATGGTTGATAATATTAATAAAAAAATTCTCCCTCTGTCACCTCTCTTTAGCACTCCTTATTTATTTTCTCCTCTAAAAAATATAATTTCTTCTTCTGAAGCATGAGACCATGATTACTACCCATCTGCCACATTTATTCTTGGTGCCACTATAACACCCTTCAGACCTCATTTTCCCTGGCTGGAACTCTTCCATATAAAAGACAAGTGTCACACCTCAGCAGGGAATAAGTGGTCTCGGCTTTTAAGCTTGCTGTCAGTAAATACTCCATTATATCTCTCTACTCTGATTCTCATGTCTGTGTTACTCATGCCCTGCCATATGGACTTGACAGTGTGTGTAAAGGGCTGTGAAGTGAGAGAGTGCAAGAATTCATGACACAGGTCAGCAGGTGCAGTGAGAGCAATGAACCCGATTTTGAGCACAAACACAAAATCAGGGAAGCTGAATGGCAGGCTGTGGCAGAAAGCACTAAGAAACACAGAACAGAGGGGCAGAAAGCCCAGCTAAGACCTTGAGTGGTGCTTTCAGAGTTAGTTCTTCCTGCAATGCAAGATAGTAACCTCCTTCCAGAGTTCTTTTTACAAATCCTCTGCCATTTCATCTATGACTCTCCCATCACTACCCTGGTATCTTTGGCCCTGATTTTTCTTCATCCTCCCTAGTTCCTTATTTCTCTTGAATTCTATGTTGTTTTTTTTTTTTTTTTTTCCTCAGCCTCAATTTCCCTGCTTGTATCTTTTAATAATCATCCCAGTATCTCCACTGCAAACAGAGTTCAGTAGCCCATATTTTATGAGGGCCACCTTTTCTCCTCATTTCTTTTTTATCTTGAGGAAAAGGTGATGAACAATTTTGGCATGACTTCTCTTCCAGCTACCAGAATCACCAGCTGGCATCCTGCTTTCTCCTTCTTTCAAGCACAGCCAAGACCAGCAGTAAGCTATGGCTCAGGCTTTATGGGCAGTCATATATAACATATATCCTTAGACCACAAAAGCTATAACAGAACTATTTTTTATGGTTTATTGGAAATCATGTTGGCATTTTCCTTAAAATGCAGGGTCTTGAATGGGGATATTATCACTTGTTTTAAAAAAGGATGTTTCTAGTCCATAGAAAAAATGTGAGCCAAATGCACTATAATGACAAAGAAGTAAGCAGAATTATTCCATACTTGTATTTTTTTAAAACCAGTGCCAGAAGCTGAGGGAGCAGCACTGAATAATGACTTTAAAATACTTACCTTGGCAATAGTATAAGTTAGTTAAACTGGCCTTTGCTTCGTGGTCTGGGCTAGAGAGAGAGGATGCACTACTGTGTTGGATTCAGCTGAAACCCAACCAATACTCACTCCATCTAGCAAGATGTACAGCTATTATTTCTTCTGCCACTTCCCCAGACTGACATTTTGTTGTCCAGAACCATGACTTGGTGAGCTAATCTTTGCTAGTGACTGCACACAAATCCTTCAGGCTCAGTTCTCCAAGCTTCTCTGGCCCAGCATTTCCCTTGTCCAGCAGCACCCATCTGTTCCTCCGGCCAGGGTGCTACACGGTCACCTGTGTGCCAAGGCCAGCAGAGGGAAGGGGCCTGGAGTCCAAAGTGATTTGCATGCTCAGACTGTGTCTGTACAAGGAGAAAGGACATCCGTGTAACTTCAGCTGCCTAAGGAATTAGTGGGCATATCACAAAATGGGTAAAGGCTGGAAGGGACCACAGTGGGCCATCAGTCCAGCCTCCCTGGACCAGAGGGTCCTCCTAGAACACATTGCACAGGATTGTGTCCATATGGTTCTGGAATACCTCCAGTGAGGGAGACTCCACAACCTCTCTGGAAATCTGTTCCAGTGCTCAGTCACTGCACAGTAAAGAAGTTCTTCCTCATATTCAAGTGGAACTTTCTGTGTACCAGTTTCTCCCATTGCCTCTTGTCCTATTGCTTGGCACCACCAAGAAGAGTCTGTCTCTGTCTTCTTGGCACCCTCCCTTTAGACATCTATACGTATAGACTATCCTTGTGCAGAAGCAGCTGTGAAGCTTTCACACAGGAAAAGTTAGTGCAACAGAAACACTGAGAGCAAGGAAAGGGTGTCATTTTGAGGGAGCTTTAGCCTTTAATGAAGACGCACACCTTCTAACAGCTTTACATTCTTCTTATATGGAGGTTCTCAAAACTGCACACGGGATTCAAGGTGAGGCCGCTCCGGTGCGGAGCAGACCGGGACTGCCACCGTCTCTACTTTGGTCAGTTCGTCCCTCGACTTCTCCCAGGGACCAAGTTCGGGAGGCCTGAATGAAAGCCAGACTAGGCTGAACACGGGGCCGCGATGGAGGGAGGGACGCAGCGGGAAAAGGGGGGTGCGGCTTTTTTCACTTTTGGGGCAAATAAACAGCGGCCGGCTGCGCGGTGCCGGCCGGGCGGCGCCGCCGAGGCCTGGCGGAGCTTTCGGGGGCAGCGGGCGGTGGTGTCTCTGTGCGCTCCCTCCCGGCCTCCCGCGGGCCGGGTACTGGAGAACGGGGGTTGGGGAAGCCTTAAACAAGCGAGGAGAACTTTCAGGAGTGGCGTTGCCGGCGGCCGAGGCCGCTCCCGTGCGCGTCCCCGCGGCGCTGAGCCCGTCCCTGGCTGCTGCTTGGTGGGACAGGGCGAGTGAAGCGACGAGGGTTGCGTTTCCTTCTTCCAAAAGGATAAAATTTCACTGTGCTCCTTCAGGTCTGAAACTTAGTAACTTCAAGATTATCAAATATAACTTCAGTGAAGCAAAACCGTTTGTTATGGGGTACCCTAATACAGCCGGTCTTCTCACAGAAACCGGTGAGTTCAGTTCTGTAATTAACGGGGTGCATATCCGAGCATCTCACACTCTGCAAAGTTCTGTTGCCCTCTGTCAGCAGAAATTTTAGTGTGGCCAAGTGGTTATTGAGATTATGGAATGGGAATTATTAGTTTGCCTTTAGATTATAGTTTCATAATCCTGTTCACCTGTTCCTGTTTAGGAACTCTAAAGCCAGGAAACGAGGAGTGATTAGAAATCTGTTACTGAAAATGGAGGAGAGATTAGGACCAGACCATTCTGGGCCAGTCAAGCCCTACCTCTGCTCAGATTCCACAGCAGTTTAAAGCAAAGTGAGTTTATTGGTTTGGCTGTGGTCGCTGCTTCCCAGTGCTGTACAAGCTCTGGCGCCCCCCGGTCCTTGCCCTGCTTGTGCTCCTCTGAGCATATGAGTGAGCTGATCTGGTGTGGTGACCTGATTGAAAACTACCTAGTTTTTGGCCAGCTCAGCGCTCATCATATATTGCCTCATCGTGTAATTATGAAAGTGTCGATGCTGTTGTAAAGGACTTACGGAGGATGGCAGGATGACAAACTCTGACTTAATAATCTTGGAATACCATGAAACAGCATTCTGAGTTACTAGGGGTGGAGTCAGCTGAAATGTGAAACCCAGCTTTCGACTGGTGTAACTACTTAAAAGAGTTTTTTTCCCCCGTGTTTTTGCGTTAGTTCAAGTTAATACAGATTTTAACATGAAAAAAATGTAAGGATAATTGTGCCTCACTTCTAGTTTGTGATGAAGAACTTCTTGTGAGTGCTTGAATCTACCAGTTCTAAATAAAAATACGATGGACAAAACCATATGTATGATAATTGTTTTACTAAAAACATGCAGTTTAAATGAAGCAAACTTTTTTGGGTGGAAGATAATAATGTAAACAAATGATTTATACTATTGAACACTGAAATGACTTTAAGCTGCATCATACTGCTAGTGAGCAAAAGAAGAACCAAGTTTATTTTAAAAGCTATACTGTTCTAGTAGCTGTAGTAAAAGTATAGTTTTAAAATTAAATATATGAGTGGGGAAGAGCTTCAGGGAGGTGCAAGAAGCTTCTTGCTGCAGTTAGATAAGATATAAATCTGCCCCATGTTGTCAAATAGAAAAGTTTTACTGACTGACAAAGTTATTTTCTAAAGGTCTCAAGTGCCACAAATCATTCCAATGTATACAGTTTTTTGGAGGTATATCTCCTTACAAAACCAGTGTGTGTTGTCACCTGTGTGGGAGTTCTTTACCTATAAACTGCTGTCAGGCTGAAGGCTCAGGATAAACATCCCCTCTTGTAAGTTCTTGAAACATGCTGTTTGTGCAAAAAGTGCATGTGCAAAACTTATTTGTGAGTCAGACTCTTAGAAAAGAGAAAAGGCTTTTGTTTAAGGAAAAGCTCTGTCCTGTGGCAGTTAAGAAATGTCCCACTGAATGTTCCTTTAGATGCATTTGTAAATTATTCTTGAGTGTTAAACTGCATTCCATTCACTATTGTAAGTGACACACACATCTTGCTGAATGTATTGGTGTTTTTCAGTTTTTATATGTCAGCTACTTCTCCAGTAGAGGCTGACCTCTATGGCCACATATCTGTTTTATGCCCACTTCTGACTATTGGGTGATCATGTAATATCCTGCAGGGTACATAACTTTACAGAGTACATTGCATTTAGATCACCTTCTAATCCTTGAAGTTTAACATTTTGTATGCATTAATAGTAACTTTCATAAATGGGTTGCTTCAGCTGTGTTCAGTGATAGCTTTAAAATACAGTTCAGCAAAGCAAATCTAACTATCATCTGAAGGCAGTGTTTTTCTGTTTTCTGTAGCCAAGAAGTGTTTTCCTTCCCTGAATAGTCTAGTTTGGTATATTCCACAAGGGCAGAAAGAGCTCGGTCATGCTCTGGCATAGGGGAGGGAGACATTGGATTTTCTGTGAGTTTTTGTAAACATGCAAACATGAAAACTTCAAGCATTGAATAAGGCTTTGGAATAGTGCGCCTGGAAGAATTTAGCAATGATGGTGACATGTTTAAGAAGAAAATAACTTAAAAGGAAGTATCATATTGAAAGTAGAAACAACAAGAAACAGGTTGAAGCAGGATCCTCCAATAAACAATAATTCACAGGAATTTATTGGGTAATCAGTTTGGTAAGGAGTTGTTTGTTTCAAACACTACTCTAGCCTGAGGAACAAGAGGACTAGAGACTGAAGGCTTGTGTCTTGAGAGTTGATATAAACAGCTTAAGAACACTTTAAGAAGTTAATAGCTAAACATTTTCATAAATGCCTGGGATGCAGGACTGGAAGGGATACTAAGCAAGTTTGCAGATGATGATACAAAACTGGCAGTACAATATTTTGTCAATATTGCCACTTCAGTTAGGCAGATAATGTTCATCTTTCTGTTCAGGTCCAAAAAAAGTGCTATTCTAATAGCAATTTTGAGATATACAGAAGGAATCAGTATATCAGTTCTGTGAATTTAGTGAGGTCAGTGAATTTGACCCTATTAAAATGGAACATGTTTTCCTTACACTGTAATTTAGCATTTTTGTGCTGCCAGCCATACCGTTCTTCTGTGTGTGGCACTGATGTTTGATTGTACCAGTCTCTTGCTCTCTAACTATTCTGGCAGAGGGAGAGTTAAGTGGATTGTAGTGCATGGAAAAGGGTAGAAAGTATAGCCAGTAAAGCTTAGCAGAGGAGAGTGGTTATAACAGGCAGCTTGGTTCTTCCCTTGGCCTGTACACAGCTGTTTTCATCAGAGCTTAACCAGCAGTTTCACCAGTTTGTTTCTCAGCTATTCTTATTTTAAGAAATTGGTCCAGAACCTGTCAAAGAACTTCAAAATATGAGGTAAACTTAAAAGGATGAAACATATAATGATTTGAAGTTGAAACTTCATTTAAAAACTCTGCTGAATTTGACAAATATTTGACCAGCAAATACTGTTTTGCATAGGAATGTTGCGAAGCAATGAAACGTTATCAAGATTTTTCCCGTTAAAAAGTTGAGGTATCAGACATCTAGCATTGCATTGACTATCTGCTATCTAATAAAGCCATTGCTTCTATGACTAAATATAGCATTACAAATTTGTGGTATTGTTGCAAACGTTCAGAAAAGCTGTTACAGAGAATTACAAATTCTTAGTGCATTTTGGAGTTGAATTAAGCATTTATCATCCCAGTTTTTTACTCCTGTGTGATTATGAGCAGGAAGGAAATGCATCCTTCCTGTTTTGCTGCACTTGTGGGCTGTGCTGTAGGAGAGACACGAGTGTCTGTTGGTTGGTTCATGCAGTTGATAAAACTTAGGTTGTTAATGAAAGGAGTTTTGACAGGAACGTAGCCATCAGGGCTGCACCCCTCACCATTTGGACATTCTGCTAAGTTTGCTGTGGAGTTACAGTAGTACAAATATGCCGCATGGATTGAAAAGTATTTCTGACAACGATGATCTCCATTAACAAAAGGAGGTTACAACTGATTGTTGACGGATTTCTTATGGTTAAAACATGATTTGCCTGAGCACAGGGCCTCAGTCTTCATGACTGCAACTTACACTGCTATGTATTTCGCAAACTAATTTGAAATTGTCCTTTCATTCTGAAAAGTTTTCAGGTCACAGTATAGACACTTTTTCTATGTCTGCAATACTAAAATTTCTGCTAACTAGGGATGTTGAAGCTAGATTAACTGATAGAGGTAGTTAAGAAATGTCTGGTTGCTTAAGCAAGAGGTGCTTTGAATTGTCAAACAGATCACTGAGAACGCTTCTCTGTGACATCAGTGAATTTTGAAACTTCATATTTCTTCTTTTTTATATTTTTGACAGTGGTATGTGTTAGGATTTGTCCAGCCCAGTAGTGTGATGGAGGCAACGCTGCTGCATTTCCATGTTCCTGGGTGTCCAAGCAGTAGCGAAGTAGAGCATTTATTCCAGTGGGATCATAGGCTCCTAGTGCATGCACACATGGCTGGCCACAGAGATCAGCACACAGGAAACAGTGTTTGCACAGCCACAAACAAATGTTCTGATTCTGTTCCCTTCTCTGATCAGGGTGAAAGGTTTCAATGAAAAATACATCAGTGTATGTAAGGTGGATTCCTCCAGTAACTGGCCTTAGACACTTGGTCCATCCAGGAACAGGCTCCTGATTCTCCGGCCTGTTGCTGACCTGAGTGTGTGAATCCTTGAGGTTCACAGACCCAACTCAGTTTCTGGTACTCACACCCTCTTGGATGTGCAGAGACAGGTGAATGTGCTGGACCTTTCCAGTTACTGGCCTTATCCTTGTGGCAGCTGCCCACAGGATTGCCTCATGAGAGAGAGTCTTCTGGATAGCTGGTCCTGACCACATTAGCCACTCCTCAAATGCCAGGTGGCCAGCTCAGGCTTTCTGGTGCTTCCAGTTGCCATCCCTCAGTCCCTAATCTCTTGTGGCTGTGTGAGAGAGGTTCTTTCAGTAGCTCAGACTCGCTGTTCTCTGCAGTCTGGCCCAGTCTTAGGGCCTGTCTGGCTGGCTCCCCAGCCTCTTGCTGTGCTTGCAGGCTGGTCTGGTTGTGGTGGTTCCATGCACCAGCGTGCACCCACCCACGCAGTGTGCACGCGCGTGTCTCCAGTCCCTGGCTCTGCAGGCTCACGGGCACCTAGCATCTGTGGCCATCTTCTCACTGCAGCCACTCTGACCTCTGCATGTGCAGATGGAATGGAGCCATTCCCACACCCAGGAAAACAGAAGTCTTCACATGTGACTAGAACCTCTTATCATCTGTTTTTTGCATTCTCCTTCCTCCCCAGCCCACCTTTGATCCCACAGTGAGTCCTACACCCTTTCAGGCAGTAACCCCATTAGGCAGTTGGTAAACTGGCCTGGAGAGTCTCTCCTGTTACCTACGTTGTTGGATGGATCATCTGTCTGGTTCATGGGCTCTCTCTGCCCTTGTGAATTGGGGCTGTGTTAGGATACTCGTGTGCCTTGTTTAGTTCGTTTCACCTTACATAATTTTCTGCTTTCTATTTGTGGGAACTGGCCTTTAATCACATAACAATAATAGATGTGAGCAAAATATCCCTCCCTAGTACTGAAGGTGACCATTCCTGTCTGACTAGTAACCTCTCTGAGGTAACAATGACTGTACCTGTTTGTGAACAGGTACAATGCATCTCCCTAGCTGTGTAAAGCAATTGTTTGTAGTCCAAGCTTTCATCAAATTTCACTTCAAGTAAAAAGATACCTTAATGAGTGGCATTTTAAATGGTCTTAATGTGAATGACAAGAAGAAAATGTTGTCCAGTTATTCCAGTATCTTAATCCTTTATATGACAAAACTTTGGGGAATATGGTAGCATGTGGTCAACTGGGGGAGATGGCTGTTGACAGGAATGTCTTGAGCTAACATTAGGTAAATTGCATACATACGTATCCTAGTAACACTTTTGTTTTAAATATGCAGTTTATGAATCAAACCCAAGGCTGATAATCTTGTGCTAAATGGAATGTTTGAAAGGCCTGATGTGTCAGAGAAGTGACACAGCCATTACTTCAGATTTGCCTCTTGCCTTGGTAGTTTGGGTAGGGTAATACTCAAGACAGCTAAGAAAATTCTTGTTGACAACTGAAAGAGGAATCTCCTGTAATAATAGCATAGTAGTCTTCCAAACCACAAAACTCTTTTGGAGAGATTTTCTATTAATTTATCTTAAAAGTAATGAGAAACAGTTACATCAAAAAGCTAGTAGTAGAGATCATAAAGATTGTTCTTCAGATAAGTGCAAGACCTTATGTGCCTTGGAGTTTTTATAAAACTTCAAAAGCCACGAAGAGTAATGCAAGAAAGAATCTGGCAAAGGGAGCTCATGGTTTTATGCTTCAGTAAACAGTAGTGCAGATATCCGTGAAATAGAGTTGCAGTCTATATTTTCATTTTTTGTACCTGGGTATTTATTTGTGGAGAGCATTCTTAAGTCATGAAATAAAATTACTTGAAAATTTTTGCAAACACATTTATCTACAGAATACAAGGATTTCCTGTGATCTACCAAAGAACTGCACCATCCCCCACAGCACTTAAATGAGGCTTTGTGAAACACTGTGTTTATCAGGTCGTTTTTCTCAAATGTTACAGAAAGCAAAAATTGCTAATCTTGACATTTTTTGATGCTACATTAAGCTGTTATTGTCTGGTATTTGCAAAACATTGGCCTTCACAGGTTTCAGATTTTACTACCAAGATGGTACTGATTAATTTCAAACTTGCAAAGCCAACTTTCAGTAGAGTTCTGAGCTATAGTCCTTAAATAGTGCAGATGAAAATCAGCAGCTTTTGTGTCAGTTTTCTTGCACGTGTCTTTCATTCACAGATACTAACTTTCAAAGGAGAATAAACACTACTGGCTGTATATCACCAGGGCAGAGAGCAGAGAAGGTCACTCAAGAGAGTATCTCTTGCTTTACAATATTCTGCTTACTCATTTCAGATCGTAATTCTTGATGTTGATTTTCTCACCAGAACCTTTGAAATACACACTTTTGTTTCTATTTAAAAATATTTCCTATATTGCTGTTGCATAAAATGTAATGGTGAATTAATAAATCCTGCTTTTTTTTTTAGCTGTTAATGTGGCACAAATCAATGAATAATTAGTCTTGCTTTTAGAATGTAGAAAGAAAACTCATGAAATGTTGTGATTATTTCTGTATTAAATTAATAATTTCTTACAAAACAGTGGAATTACTTGGTGCTGCTAAGTCCTGTTTTTTATTAAAAATCCAATTTGCACATTTGCACTGATTAGAGTAATGGGTGAATAGGGATTGTGTTAAATGGACAAAGTAACCTCAAAAATTAAAAGTTACAGTTGCTCCTCTGCTTTGAGTAGACAAAGGTATTGAAAAGGTTAAGTTCTTTCTAGCAATAACTATTTCCATTCACTCGTTACTCATTACCTATGGGCTTAATTTAAGCCTAGAACATAGAAGGATCCTCAAAAATCTTAGCCCCTCTGTTTTTCTCATTCTGAAAATATAGCACGGTGGGACAATTCTACCTTTAAAAAATTCTCATTAGCTTCTAATACCTTCTCCTTTGTATTCAAGTTGCATTACATGGCCAGTTTTCTGCCAACTAATTAATATGCAAATTATGCTCGAGCTAGGAGACTATCAATTTAAGTTTGCCATAAAATCAGTAACATTTATATAGGTTATTTTTGTCTTATTCTGTTAGGTGTAAGAATTTGTCTGTATCTTTCTGGAATTCCTATTGGATGCTGCCCTCTGATGTTTGTGGAATGAACTGCTTTTGGGAATCTGCTTTTAGGTAGGATGTTAAATAGTACTTTATTGTTTGATTGCAGACAGATGTAGCTGATGTTTTTTGGCTCTTTAGCAAGGTGGCAAAACAAAATCTCTTGATTACTTCACATGCATTTCACCTGCTTATATTGCCTTTAGCTGGGTTTTTTCACGTTACATTATGTTATGGAATTGTAGACTCAAGTGTTACTACCAAGAGTAGATTATTTCAATTATATTGCTTTGTTAAATAGAAACTTGATAACATCTGTTAAAAGCTTGTCTGAGTATAGTCTGAAAAGTTAATGATAAATTATTTTCCTAAAATAATATTTGCTGCATACTAATACCTGTGATTGCAATAAAATGATATGCTTAGTGAGTACATGTGGATTTTTTTACATTCAAGTTACATGTTTTATAGAAGTTAAGGAGGGTACTTCATCCAAAAGCACTGAAGAGACCATTTTGAATGTTCTTTAACATTTAGTATGTTAAAGAATAGACTGTCTCTTTAATGCTGCATCTTTAACAATAAGTTTAAATGTTTTGACATGGTGGCTCAGATGTTTTAGGCTACACAGGTAGCTTGAAAAGAAGTAAGCTACTTGTCAGGTAGTTCTCTAACATGCATAGTTCTCTTCAGTATATAACCAGAGTTGTAAGTCAATTTTTCTTACATGTAAAATTTTGCTGATCATCCTTTGATATGGTTATCTTTTCCTGTTAGTAGGAAGCTTGAATATTTTTGGGAAAGCAAAGGAGAATAAAAAAGCTTAGCTTCACAAGACTTACTAATTTTTGAAAATTATTGTGAGAAAGGCTTTAGATCCCTTATTCTTCTCTGCTTGTGTGTTGTCAGTGCTTTTTAAGCTCAACAGTTGTCAATAAATTCCTTAAAGAGGTTACTTAGATTGATTTTTATTCTGTTAGTGAACTTCATCTGCAATTTGGGGCTGCTGAGTTTTTCTCATTACCATTAGTAGCAATCCATACTGTGTTAATCCATAGAGATGCACATGACTTTGTTAGGCAGACTTAGCTATCTGAATAGACAGAAACAACTTTTTTTTCCTTATGGGTTATGTTTTGCGAGTTCAGCTTTATGAAGTTTAGTGCAGTGGGATAAATGAAATGCTGCTGTGGTTGAGGGTGTAGGGGCTTAGCTTACGCTAGGTGGAGGGACAGGATGTGATTGTAAGCTTCGTTTAATCCTTGGACATCCGGGCCAGTCTAACACTTGTAGTGTTGAGAAAGGGGCGGGTCTTGCTGTCTTCTGACCCCACTAAGCAGGAAGAAGTCCAGGAATACAAAGTAATGCACAAAAATAGCAGAAAACCTCCTTTCTGGATATTCTGTCAGGCTTGAGACAAGTGGAACCTTGGAACCAGAAATGGACAAATCCCATGCAGTTTATTTGCACTTACCTTAAGCTGTAACTTGTACTAATCTATTAAGAATTCCATATGTGGTTGTGAAGACAATTCTGTTCAAGTATGCATTGATTATGACTTTACTGGATGAGTCCACTTTCATGGTGAAACATGATTCAAACTAATGTTTGCAGAATTTCATGTTTATACATTTTGAAATTGAAAGAAAAAAAACTGCTTAAAGGGGTAAAGGGTGTGTCATGTTCAGATGAAACATTTCACATTAAGCTGGATTGTTTTATCAATATCTTAGTATTAAATTAGTCCCCAAATGTTGTGCTGACTTCAGTGCTTGTTGAATTCTTCAGTGAGATGCTCTAATTTATCTCAGAGTTAGTTAGAATGTCTCCTTTCAATTTTCCACTCAGTTTTTAAAACATTGGGAGCTTTTGGATTTGTAAGTATTTTTGTTGAAAAAAAGCTTGTAATCTCTCTGTTTCTAACTTGTAATTCCACTTAGCTTTTTTAGTTCTTAGGGGACATTACTATGGCTGTCTGACCAGGCTGATTTCAGTTGTTGGATGTTGCAGCTAAGTGGATTTTAACTTGTGTTGCCTGCTAAAGTAGAAAGTTTCACTAAGTTTTTGGGTATTTTGAGCTTCATGTGGTGTGGTTATATTGAAATGAATTCTGATAGTCCTGAAAAAAGGAATTTCTCTAAATTAGCAGGCTCATTGGAGAAAGGGGCTTCTATTTTTATAGTCAATTCAAAATTACTCATATATTGTAACTTCAGACCTAATCTACTAAATGAGTTGGCATTGAGTAGATTACATTTGGACATCATATGCAGTGGTATCATTAGTGTACTTTTACAACATAAGCTCTTGATTATGACATGTTTTGCATGCAGTGCTGTAGTAGAACATTAAGTTAAATAAAACCTAGAATTTTCATCACTTTCAAATCCAGATAATGTCTGTAGTTACCTTGATCCTACTTGTAATAAGTGTGGGAGTGATTTAACAGCTGGATTTTAATCAGTGTAGCTTTGTTGCCTTTTTACTCTGCCCATTTGCTTTGTTTTTCTTCTTTTCTGTTTCTAAGACTGCTGGATTAGGCTTCTTAGTGGTTGATTTAGATCAAACAGGGCATTAAAAGGAAAAAGGATGAAATAAGTAAGCCATCTGTATTGTACTTACATCTCTGCCATTTGATTCTCTGAGGTATACTGTAGTGTCAGCTTTGAAATAATACAGTTTGATTATGTGAAAATACTTTCCCTGCACAGTTTAATGAATATAATTAACAATTTTTACGCTAATGATGAAAACCACTTCTGTTACACCAAATTAGATGGAACTGTATACAGGGTATTCCTGAGGTTTTGGTACCCTCTCACCTGTGCTTTCCATGTGTTATGTGAGAATACACATTACCCTTAAACAAATAAAGGTGAGCTCTACTGCAATTCCTTTTGTCAAGTCTAAAGGACAGAGCTAAGCTTTCTGCAGAGCTAGTGGGTATTTTAGTGCCAATAAAATTTGTGTTGGGTTTTTTTTCCCCAGGAAGTGCAGCTGGGATGCCATGAGGTTCTAAAAAAGTAAAACCTGTCAAAACATACCTCTGTAGCTTACTGTCAAATTACAGCTTCGTAGCTGTAATTGACCTAGAAATGCGAATTTAATATACAATGTGTCATGGTAAACATCTTTAAATATAAGGCAGTGTCTTGACAGACAGGCTCTGGAAAACCTTGTTGTAGAAGATTCACTGAGGATATCCTATGTTCTTCTCTCTCAGAGGTTATTAGAAGGAGAATTAATTAGTATAGAATGAAGGTCTGCACTTGGCACAGAAATACTTCAGGGCAAGGCTTGTACCTGGCCTTTTGCTGCTGCTGAGTAGCATGTTTTAAAATGCATGGTTTTTACCCACATTGTCAAAAGTGGCTTGTTTTAAATGTGTTTCCTAAACTCATGGAAGTATGTGTGGGGGTTTGTCTCCAGTGTTTAGTTTATTTTTACTGTCCCTACCCCTCATGTGTAATTAGTATCCTCACAAAAATGAAATTCTCTTATTTCTTCCTGAAGACTCAAATCCTGTCATGACATCCTGCTCAGTATCTTGTACTAGGTTACAGGCACTTTCTTTCTCTTCTATTTTAATTACCAGAGGTTTTTCTTTCTCTGCAGTAGCTAGGACTCCCACATTATTGGAATTTTTTTTAAAAGAAATTAGGTCTGTCCAGTTTTCTTTGTTAGTCTATCCAGCATCCTTACTAAAATACAGTTTGTATTTCACTCTATTGTTGCTTTTTTCCAGCTTTTCCAGTAGGTTCTCCCACACTAAAAGATAAAGCTATCATTAATTAGAAGTGTGCATATAAAAAAAAAATGCATTTGTGTTTTTCTGCTTCTCAACAAGTTTTTTGAAAGTATCTCCTCACTTTTGAAAGGCATCTTAACCCTCTGAGGACCTGTATTTGACTTTCACTAAAGGTTCATAGCAGAGCTGTGATTCCTGATACCAGACCTGTTTAGGTTCAGACAAGTCACTGTTCTTGTAGAATAAATTTTATTTTGCTTATTGTCAACTCAGAAACTGATGTGCTAAAAAAAAAAGTATTGCCAAAAGATGTTGTGTCACTTGGTTATAACAGACCAGTTACCTAAATGAGCACGGTTTTCCTTTCCCTGGCTTCTGGGGAGGTAGGTGCAGTGGAAGAAAGACGGAGAGAAGGGTTACGGAGGTAGGAAAAGAAGGGAGCAGTTAAAGGCAGAAAATCTGGGAAAAAATCAGTGGAAAAAGTATAGCTATGTAGACATAATACTGAAGAAGGAAGTGAAACAAATAATGAAAAACATAATTGGCTCTGTGGGTGGAACATGCACATTGAAGGTGAGACTGCAGAGCTCAAGCTGGTAAACTCTGCTGAACAATTTACACTTCATACTGCCTCTCGCATCAGGAAGAGGAAAAATGATGGAAGATGCTAGCGGCTGAGTAAAACAGTGTTCCTGGATGAAGATGGGGACAGGACTTCTCTCTGGGAGTGGACAGAGGTGTGTGTGAAAGGGAGAGGAGCAGCACTGAGGCCCGCTTGCTAAAAGGGAGGCTGTTTTCCCAGTGGTCTGTATGCAGGAAGTCAAATGCAGCTTATAATCACTAAAGGGTGTCTTTTCATGGAGTCTGGAGTAAGGACCACAGTCCTGAAGTCTCTTACCTTCTGCCTTAATACATTTCTGGGATCTAATATGTCTCATTCCCTTTGTAGTGGATAACCCACAGAGGGAATGGTGGCCTATTCTTTCCAGCGGCTTCTTGCTCCATGTGCTTCAGAGATAAAACTTTAAGTTGTGAATTTATGGATCTGAGGCCAGCTGTTTCCCATTTGGTATGAGCTGAAATTCAGTTTTTGTTAGCTCTTTCTAAATATTTTTTTTTGCATTTTAAGAAATAATTTTAAGCACAGATTTAAAAATATTGAACTCAATAAGTCTGAAAGTTACAGAAGAGGTTGTGTGAACAGAGTGACTGTAAAAGCATTATAATATGATCAGTCAGTTTCTTGTTTTGTGGCTTTATTCACAGAGGTCACTAGATGTAGAAATAATAAACTACAGTCTTTGAATCTTAGTGCATTTTAGAGTTTCTTCAGCATAATTTTTGTCATCCTTTATTCATGGAAAGCTGTGTTTTACATGTAGTTCAGGAGCTTGGCTTTCAGCTATGCAGTTTGTGTAGGTTTTGCCCTTATTTATCACATGACCTTGTAATATCACTGTAGGCTCTCGTGACTTCAGGGCTTAATTATTCTAACTCCCTTTTCAGTGGATTAGTGATGAGGCTAATCTGCTGTTTGCAGCTTGTTCACACTGCGGCAGTGTACTTATTTCTGGGTTTCCCTCATCATATTCAGCTTGCATTGTGGTTTTTACATTGCTACCTACTACATAGTGTAATATTTAAGTTAGCTTTATGTATAAAGGTCTGAATGGGGCATGTCTTGATTATATTTCAGAATTCTTTTTTTTTTTTTTTTGTGAGTGTGTGTGTTAACCTGAACTAATTTTCAAATTTTGCTTCAAGATCTAGAAAAAGTTTCAATTTGCAGATTAAATCATCTGAATATAGATGTCTGCATATTGGTGTCTATGTCAGGTAGGTCTTAAACAGTCACTAAAATAGAAAGGGCATAGAGGATGACCAGCCATTTAGTGCTGAGATATAAGTTGTTGGTGTTAATCAGGAAGCACTTGGATATTCTAGACATCTTTTTAGGACTAGTAGACACAAAATGATCTTTGAAATACTCAGTCTTCTTAGCATCTGAAGATCAAGTGGGATATTCTAGAACTTATCAAATGGCACTATACCTGTGTTAAAAAGTTGATTCAAGCCTTAGGTGTTTATTTTGAAATAAGGTGGATTACTCTCTATGCTCCATAACCTGCTCACTAGATCTCTGTTGGCTTTAATGAGACTTCAGACACAGTTGAAGTTAGAATCTTCATTTAGGTTGCCCTGTTTTGGATCTAAATCTGACCTGTGAAGTCTTTCATCCATGTGATTTTTAAATAATGCTCCAGACCTTAAGCCTGGCTGCTTAATCTAATTAAAATTTTATTGAAAAAAATGGAGTTTTTTTAGTTCCAGGGTATTAAATTCTTTCAAAACTCAGAATGTTTTTTAAATGTAGTAATTATTTATGGCATTAAAATTCAGTACTTTTATAGTGATAACTTTGTTTATAGTTTGTCTTGTGGAAGTAAAAATATTGTGTGTACGTCTTCTGTGCCTTAAAGAAGTCATTTTGCATATTATCTATTGCAGATTTAAAGGGAAATTTGTTTGTATTTACATGGTTGCATGAATTGAGTGGCGATTATGCGCTAAGAATCACATCTGGTAATTTCTATTTTGAAGCATCTCTCTTCAACAAGTTTCTAAGAATGGGTGATTTGTCAAGCATTTCTCTATTGTTAGTGGTTTGGTAAAGTCCTTTCTAACTTCAGAATTGGTTTTGTGTGCATAATTTGGCATTAAACTTGTAATTTAAACCTTCAGATATTTTTGGTTCTATTAGCCTCCTCCTCCCTTAGTCTGTGCGAACAGCTGTAGTGCATAATATTGTTTTCCACATGGGATTTGAGTTGATGTGTGTTTAAAAGCTTTGAAACCTTTTCTGAAAGCTTTTCTTTCTAAATCTGTGAAATCCAGGAGATTTTTGGTATACCCACTTTGTTTGCCACCAAGCTAATGGTATTTGATGACAATTTTAGTCTATTATATTGAAGTAGTGAAATAACTTTAAAATGTGTCCTGTATATAATACATTCCAGGCACATCTCACAATAACTGTAGCACAGGCATCTTCAGGAATAAAGGATTCCCAGTCCCCACTCCTTGCAATGATTTAGCCTCAAGGCCATGGACGGTGTGTGTGGTCAGTGTGCCTGAGGGCTTTCCCAGAAGTGCTGGGAGCACCAGGCATCCCACACGGCCATCTGAGCTGTTAGTTTCTCCCCTCATGCAGCCCACGTTGTACTCCTCCAAGATGGAGGGACAGGAGAAGGCTTTCTGAGTTTTGTCAGTGCTTGGGCGAAGCGCTGAAGGATGTGTTTGACAAAAAAGGACTTACTGGAGCAGAAAACCTAGATTAGTCAAAAATGTTCTTAACAGAACTTCTTGAAAGTTGGTGTTATTTCACTTTTGTTGTTGAGTTCAACTCTGCTGTATTTGTCTTTTTTTCCTATGTCTGTATTTAGTCCAGAGAAAGGGGAAACATCTCATGTATAGACTTAATGTACTGTCAGCCTTTGACATTTTGATATAACTTCATGTAGTCTTTCTTTTAGCATAGCTATTTTGATGAATTTCCTTGCTAGTAATGAATAGTAAGATTGTAAACAATAAATATTTGTGTATTGATCTTCTAGAGCTTTTTTTTTACCTTGTAGGCTGGGGTGGTGGGAGTGATTATGAGAATGGTTCAGGTTAAATGGAAGCATACATATGGGCATGTTCTGTTGGTTATACTTTGCTGGTTTAAGTATGGTAAATGGTATTTTGTTAATTTCTTGCTGCAGTAACTAGTAGAGTTTCTCTTTAAACCTGTGCTAGAAATAATGTCAAATGAAAAAATATTTTTGTATCAGATATGATTATATGAAAACACATCCTTCTGAGAAAATGCATCTAGCAGTGGTGGCCTGTGGTGAAAGACTGGAGGAGACTGTTACTATGTTGAGATCAGCCGTTATTTTCAGCATCAAACCTCTCCATTTTCATATTTTTGCTGAGGACCAGTTGCATGAGAGTTTCAAAGACATAGTAAGTATTCAAAAAGGTATTCAATCAATTTGTAGCACAACATACAGCAATTCTACTTGTTTGATAGAGGCAGAAATGCAGGAGTCTAAGGTAGTAAGGCATTCATAGTGTTGGATGGGGATCTTAGAAATTTTTTCATGTGTAAGAATGCCAGCTGCTGATACCAGAGTTTCTCCTTTCAAAACTTTGTGATTTGTAATCTTGAATCTGTTAAATACAAGCCTGATATTCTGAAAACAAACCAGTTATCTTGTGTGAGCTTATTTAGAGTTGGCTTTACAAGAAAAAATTATAGATCTGTCCTTTTTTTGTCTCTGTGCTTACAGCATGAGTCAGTCTTATACTGTTTAGAGAAGGTGAAACACCAGTTTTTGAATATGGTGGATACAGTTATGTCTAATTTTAGTAAATTTCAGTTAATGAAAATTACAATATGACTGGAGTAGCAGATTTAGAAGCTGATGAAGCTATAACTGGAGGGTTTGACTATTTTTGTGCTCAAAATGTCATACTAACTGTGACATTAGTATGTTGCACATGCTAATTTATATACACTGTTATGTAAACAGTAGCTGTTGCAAAAATGGAGTAAGATTAAATTTGGAAATATTTCATTGGTATTTGTTCTGTGGTAACTAGTTAAGAGGATTTTTAATTAATAGACTTATTTTTTGTAAATACTCACTTATTTTGCTTCCTCTTCCTTTTGCATGTGATCTAATATGATGTGTTTTCTTATTAGTGGCTTGTAGGTGCCACTTTTTGTTCAAGTGTTTTGTTTAGCTGACAAATTCTTGGATTTCTGTTATGGAAAAGGAGCATTGCACTTGTGTTCAAAGTATCAACTTGAATCGCGAATTGATTTTTTTTTTTTTTTTGGTAATAGACTTGAAGTAATTTTTGTGATTTCTTATTTTCACATAGCTTGAAGAATTTCCCTATGAAGGAAAAGTTAATTACACATTATATCCAATAACATTTCCATCTGAGAGTGCAGCAGAATGGAAGAAATTATTTAAACCATGTGCTTCACAAAGACTATTTTTGCCAGTAAGTTACTTTGTAATAGGAAAATCCGGAAGTCTGTTTATGAAGCATCAAACTGTCCTTGTAATTCTGATTTCTGTTTGGTTTTAAATTAAGAACTACTACTACTCCTTAAAGTTGCTTTTTTGACATCCAAAAAAGCCCTCTGAATTTAACGTTTTTCTGTGGCACTAGTACCCTATGACATAAAATTCCTTTTCTCACTTGATGCATTATGGCACAGTATCCTCAGAAAGAAATGTAGGTCATGTCATCATCTCAGAGGTGAGATGGGTTTATCACACCTCATCTCATTCCCTTGGAAAGTCTCCTGTATGCATGGGTCTGGGAAGTGCTAGAGAAAAGGAGACAAGAAATGGGCCCTTGTTGCCAGTGTTTTGTGCATATGCTCATCTAAGACCCTTCAGAGGACATATTTCAGGCTTGGGGAATGAGAGCCATGGCAGCTGTCTCCCAAAGGCGGGCTCTTAACGCTTGTTTGATCAGCTGCATGGGAAAGCGAGGGAGCAGCCAGAGAGGAGCTGCTGTTAGGGCTACTCCTGGCCTCCCCCTACTCCTAGGGAGCCCTGACATATAAAATGTAAAATGAGTGCCTTTGCAGTGCTGTTCTATATGAAAATTATTTCCCTCTACAGAAATTCTTAAAAATGTGAGAAAAAGGAATGATGACAAATTTATTGATTGCAAACTGCCAGTGTAAAGTGAATTTATTTGCATATGACAACAATTTGTTTAACTTTCTTGTGTTTTATTAAGAGAAGTTCAATAAAACTTAAAATTTTGGTTTTAAATTTCTTTCCCTCACAGTTAATCCTCAAAAATGTAGACTCACTACTGTATGTTGATACCGACATCTTGTTTTTGAGGCCTGTTGATGATATTTGGTCTTTTCTGGGAAAGTTCAACTCCACACAAATTGCTGCAATGGCACCAGAACATGAAGAGCCTCGTATTGGGTGGTATAATCGATTTGCTAGACATCCCTATTACGGAGTAACTGGAATTAATTCTGGAGTCATGCTAATGAATATGACACGCATCAGAAGAAAATATTTCAAGGTATGTGTGTTGCCACAATATCATTTTTGGTGGATTTCCATATTTTAATTCTATTTCTGTTTCATATTCATATGTATTTTCCAAAATATTTTTTCTGTAATTATAATAATGCTCTGAAAGTACACTGTGTTTAATGTAGTATCTATTTTTTAAATGTCATTCACTGTAAGAATTGAATTTCAAGTGTTCTTGATTGATTTATTTTTTCTTAGTTCTGAAAGATCCTTTGACTTGATACAGTTTGCTGTAAATTACATTCGCCAATAGATATGCCCACATTATTTCTTCACTACAGGCATCCCAGAAAAACAATTATTGTAAACTTGTAAAATGTGTGTAGTTGTATGACCAGGAGGTGGTGCTAAAACATTTAATACGAAGCTTGCCAAATTTTCATCTTTTACATTGTAGCCAGATGATTATCACCCTAAGTATCTTCATTTGCTTTGAAGTCCTGGTTTTTGTAGACAAAGAAGTTTTTCATGAAAGTAGCTACTACTGTGTGCATGGAAGCAATGCACACAGCTGTAGAAATGGTCATTGCTTCTTGGACTTGAAGTTTTTTCTTATGTGCTTGAAACACAAGTACAAAAGCAGTGTTGTGTGATTATGCTTGGGGGAAAGTACATCTCTGTTTAAGAGAAGTTTGATTAGGGAAAAATAATTATGCGGTGAAAAACTTCTAGAAGATGCATCCCTAAGAGGAGCAATATAAATTTGCATTAATTCTCCCCCATTTCCAATGTAATAAGCAGCTTTCATCCTAGCATTCTTGCTATGTATTTTTCTTGAAGGAAAAGCAGAGAATTTAAGAGAAATGGAGAATGGATTATCTCAATTGTAGTTAAAAGTAGAAAGTTACAGTAGCTGTAGTATATGGCTGCAGTTTTTCCAAGAAAACTTCTCTGTCATCTTGATACATATATATATACCATGAGCAAAGTCTTGCATTGTCTGCTTGGTTTGTTTTACTGATTACAGTATATGGAGAAATGAAAATACTGAAAAGTATAGAGAAAAACATGGGATTGAAAGCTGCATATATCTTAAGCTCTGACAGTACATTTCTGTATAGTTATTTATTTTCAGTGTGGTAAACACTAAGATAAAGTTGGTCTTTTATTCACACTGTGCCAGAATTCTGGTTTGGCTTCTCAGTACAACTTCGGTTATCAAATCATTGGAAACTTAATGCATTTTTAGTAAAATTGGAGTTCACATTGTCAAAAGCATACAGATTATGTAGGATACTAAAATTGTCAATAAAATGAACTGTAGTCTTCTAGAGACAACATGAAGTCCTTTCTTCTCAACACCTAAAACTGGTGTTTTCTTCAAATTTAAATGTATATATATACTTAAAACATAAGATTTAATTAAGTGAAATAATTAATGAGTATTTTGGAATTCAAAATGAAACACTGCACTTTCCCTTGGTTCTAGAGGGCTAAAATATTTGTTCTGTGATTCTATGAGATCTGGCCTAAAAGAGCACTGAGTAGGGGAACCATTTAGGTTATTCTCCCTCAGTACCTAGAGTGTGGTCCCACAAGCTTGCCAGGTATCACAGTGCCCAAAGATGCACCAGCTTTATGACAAAAACTACTGTTCATGGAAATTTGCAGACTGTTTTCATCTTCAGGTTCCTTGAATGCCTTAGTATAAAGAGAATTGGTCAATAGGAATAGTTGCAGACATCAAAGCAAAACTTAGAAAAGGATTTAGTGTAGCTGAGTCTATACACAGTGGGCCTGAGAGTGTATGACTTTTGGTTGTGACTGATAGCAAAGGAACGACTATTCTCAAACCTTTGGAAGAGAGATAGACCAAATTCAGGGTAGGGACTGTCCTAATACCCTTGCCAGTGACACTGTAGATGCTTTTGGACCTTACAGTAACAGTTCCTTGTTGTGTCCCACTAACTATTCCAGTGAAATACTGGAAATACTTCCTTGTGTTATGGGAAGGTGTGAATTTGTTTATATTCTTTCAGGAGGCTCAACAAATTCTTCAAGGAGTATGTAAGTTCTTGCAATTTTTTTATCTTTTAAAAAATACCTGTAGACCTTTTTGCATGATACTGTAGTGCTAGAGCATTTATCTGAAGTGAAAGTTTTGGATCAGGATATTCCTGCAGTGCTATGGATTTAAAACTGTGGGTTGTTTGTCTGTTGTAGCCCAAATTACAAGCTGAGCCGCTTGAGGCCTTTAAGCATCTTTCTTCTGTTGTCACATTGATTTTAAGAGTCAGGTGGATCCAAAAGTGGATAAATAAAAAATAGAACCAGAGACTTTAGCCAATGGTTATAATGTTCATCTGGGTAGCAATAAGCTGTAGTTCCATGTACTGCTCCAGGAGTAAGTAATCTTTTATCCACTTACCTATTTGAGCCTCCTCAGTCTTCTCAGGAGTGTCAGATCAGGCCATTTCAGACAAGCATCCCAGCTCCTTGGCTGTCGGTGGTGCCTAATGGATGTTTTTCCTTCTGGTCCTGTCTTATTTGTCTCGTGTGTGGAGTCTGTGTGTGTGTACAGCACAAATACATGCACTAAATGCACACATGTCTATGCTTGTATACAGACAGATGTGCATGCACAGATGTGTTACTGAATACAGTGTTCGTTATACTGCATAACTGCACATGACACTAGAATTCATAATAAAGCTTCTGATGGTTAGTGTATACATGTTGTCTCTGCTAAGCAGTAGTTAGAAAATGGGAATGTAAAGCATTCAAGACTGTTTAGGATGTTGAAGAGGTAATAGTAGATTACTTTTTTTGTGTTTGTATACATATAGGTGTAGATTTTTTTTTAAGAGATACAGCAAATGCTACAGGTGTGGTGCTTTTAAACAAAAAGACCAATGAGGCAGTGGAATAGAGAGGAATGACTTCTATCACATTTATTGAGAAGGTTGTTGATGCCTGAGATGCAGGCAGTCAAGGAAGGGAACAAGCTCTTAGAAAATCAAACAAGCCCCAAATAAATTAACTTCAGATAGAGTGTGCAAAGTAGAGGTTCACGGGTATGCTTTAGGAAAAAAAAAAGAAAGTTCAGAGAGCTTCTGCGACCTAAACCATTATAACTTTTTTTTGTCATTCATTGTTGCTTAGGGCTGTAGTTTCAAGAAATATGGTGAGCCTGCACAAAACCAAATTGCTTCTAAAAGGAAGGCTCCTGTCTCTTACCAGCTGCTTTTCCCTACTTTTCTTGTTTACTTGGTTGTAGCCTTTGGTGTTTGGTCCTTTCTTGATTCAATTCAATTTGATAACAGTAGAAAAAGGAAATCCTTCTGCTGGGTTATTGAAGTATATCAGCTTACAAAAACATGCAGTAAGTGTTAGCACTACATTGCTGGTGTAAGAACAGGGTAGAATTATGTAAACAGAAGGCAGAGGGCTGGCTCTCCCTTGGCATTAAGGAAATTTAAATTGGTCAGCTACTTGTGGGATGCAGCTGCAGTTTGTTTAGATATTGCTGTGTGATTTGAGAATTTTTCCTCAGCTTTATATTTTCTTCTTAGAATTAAAAAAAAATAAAGGCTAAATGTGACAGCTTTTGTAAGTCTGACTTCAGCCTTGGGCAGGCAGAAGTTTTCTGGTACAGAAATGAGTAATGACCAAGCTAAACAAATAAATGAAAGCTCAACCTGAAATGTCAGAAAATACTTTGATGTTCCTCCATATATTTTCTTCTGCTCAAATAAACTAGAATTTTGAGAGTTCTTAAAAACCTGTCTGTATCAGTTGGATGTCATCACAGAAATGCCTACTATCATTTGGGTTTTTTTTCTCAAATAGAAACATTCTTTGCATGGTGTGGAATACTGGAGAGAAGGTTTATATTCTGGACATTTTAAAATTAATGTAGCATTTTTTTTTTTGAGTTTTTTTACTTGACTAACTTCTGCAATGCAATTCTATCAGAATCCTACTTCTCAGGCTGTTCCACCTTACAGTGGAATATTTTAAAGAAGGAAAACAAGTAATTATTCAAGCAGTTTCTCTTGCTCCTACACAGATGTCATTATATATCACTGCTATTTTATTAATATATAGCTATTTTCTATTTATGCAAAGGTTATGGAAATAATACAATTTCCAGTTCTTAAATCTGACAGCACTATTTGTCAAGTAGTATTGCTTCTAGACATCTGGCTGTGTGATTCATGTTCTTATCTGCTTTGCATCTTCTTGGGATATCCTCTATATTTCTCTGCTATTAAAACTCTACAAGTGAAAGGAAAATTCTATTAAATAATGACTTTAACAATTTAAACTTTTATTTCTGTGTGTTGCTCTAAAACTGTATTTGTTACTGTATATTATCTTACCATGATTTGCCTGGTATGATTGAGCTAATTTAATTCTGTTTTTAATTCTTAGCATTTTGCCTAAACTTAAACCATAGGTCAGTATTCTGGGAATTGCAAATTCCAGGTGAGGGAGTAATCTTTACTGACTGTGATTGAGTCTTATTTATTTGCTTTTTTGGAAGGGTTTAGCTTAGTGTTAAAGCCTGTGTTTTATTTCATTTAATCACTTTGCATTGAATCTAATGACAATTCTTACTAGTGAAGAATTTTCTTATGCATTTCTTATGCCTGCACTCATTGAATACTTACTTGCAGGCAGTCATAATCATAAATTTTTTAGGAGAGGAGAGACTGTAATATTCTGTTTGACTTCTTGCATAATACAAGGCATAGATCTTTTTTTGTATTAATTCTTGTCTGAAATCTTGTAGTATTTCTTGGTTTAGTCTTCAGTTCTGAAAGCCCTTCATATTTGATGGCTGAAATGATCTGAGGGAAGAGTAAAAACTGAACTGCAATTTTATGCACTTTCTAGTTTGTCAGTGTAAAGCTCACAGAAAGAAGTCTTTTGATACTGTAAATCTCAAACGGAGTATTTTGCTCCCGGTAATCTGTCTCTTAACATGATATTCCTGTATGCAAATCTGAAACTCTTCTGGAGTTCTAATATAATTTTTCTTTTGGCAACTTGCTTAAAAAGAAGCAAGAGTACAATGCTTGTACTTGTTCAGGAATTTTCTCTCTATGGGACTTACTGCTATTGCATCCACACTCTCAAAACTTTGAAGCACAGAGTACAAAGTCAGCAGCCTTGCTCCTTTTCTGTTCTAGTTGGGTTAAATAGGGTGTAAAGAGGAGAGATTAGCTTTAGAATATGTAACCATTTAAACTGCAGATTTGAATCCCTTTGTTAACATGGAATTCAGTGTAGGCCAATTTACTCCAAGTAGATGCTCCTCAACCAGAACCTTAGAAGAACTCCTTTTCTTTTGAAGTGATTCTGCTAAATCAAGAATTCAGGAATTTGGTATCAGCTGTTTTTTTGGCTCTTACTGACTTTTACTACTGAGAAGTTGTCCTCTGTTGATGAGGAAATTCAAGTTCAGTAATTAAAAAAAATAAATTCAACTTGATGAAAATACATCTGAAAACCTTTGAAGGATTTCTGTATTTTTGTACTTCGTAGCCAGTATATTTTATCTGTATGTGTTCAGAACTATTTAAGAATTAATTTTGTATTGAACTGGTTAGAATTTTTGCAGTTATTGTTAGAACCTGTGTATATTATAACTCTGTGGTAAAGAGAGGAATTGCATGATGTGTGGATACTGAAGTACTCCTCATCTATTTGCTGCATGACTTAAATGCAGTTTTGGTATTGGATCCTACTGCTGTATAAAAAATCCTTTGCTATTCTTAGAATTCTTGGTTAAGATATTAGAAGGAAAATTTTCGGTAAGTTGATCATTGAGAAATAAAGCATATTGGAAATGTCAATAACGAGGTTCCTTAGATAAGCTTGTTGGTTTAAAAGGATGAAGTTATCTATACATTTGTATCTATACAAAGTTATCTTTGTAGTGCAAGCTACTGCGATTCTGTAAGGCATTTCCTTCCCTGTAGGTACAACTGTCCTGAATGTGTGTTGTTTTGCTTTGTTCTGTTGAACAGAATGATATGACACCAGTCCGGTTACAGTGGGGAGAAATTCTGATGCCACTACTGAAGAAGTACAAGCTGAACATAACATGGGGTGATCAGGATCTATTGAACATTATGTTTTTTCACAATCCAGGTAAATCCACATTGATTTTCAGCCTAACACTGTGAAGTTATCTTTTCCATGGAAAAAAAAAATAACCAGGAAAAAAATCTAGGAAAATATTCAATAAGCAGGCTTTTGGGTCAAAGCCTTCAAGGGACTATTCACTACTGAAAGCATTTGAGACAGTGCTGGAGCTTGCTAGAGTGTAATTAACTGTTAGATTTCAAAACAACTGTACAGACATTTATAAAGCTGTCCTAAATAAATAAAGAAAATATTGGTTTATTTCCTGAAACAATTTTCATACTTAACCCAGAGTTCTCATTTTTGTACACAGAAAGTCTTTATGTCTTTCCTTGCCAATGGAATTACCGGCCTGACCACTGTATCTATGGAAGCAATTGTAAGGCAGCTGAAGAAGAAGGTATATTTATTCTTCATGGAAATAGAGGTGTTTACCATGATGATAAACAACCAACTTTTAGAGCTGTCTATGAAGCGATAAAAAATGTAAGTGATTTTTGCATTGTACTTGTTATTCTTTCATGTATGTTTATCTATAGTAGTACATGTATTTTGTAGGCATGTTGATATTCACCTTGATTGCAACAAAGTAATATTTTTCACTTTTAAGTAACATCAAGTTTTTTACCACTTTTTTCTCTTTCATTGTTTGGATGGAGTTCCAGTATATTCCTGTTTTGATGAGCATCTTTTGATAGAGTGTAGACTGTATCTGGGTTAGAATTCTAGAACCATGCCTGTGGTTGGCAGTGTTTACTTAAAAAGCTTTATTATAATTTATTTAATAAATCACCTGGTGAATTGTTTCCATGAGTATTTGGGCATCTTACAACATCTGACTAGGAAGGGGCCGACACCGATCACTGAACCAAGTACCTGGCCCTGCACAGGGCCATCCCTGGGAGTCACACCATACACCTGAGAGCATTGTCCGAAGACTTCTTGCACTGTGCAGGCTTCATGCTGTGACCACTTCCCTGGGAAGCCTGTTCCAGTGCCCAACCACCCTCTTCTGGAACCTTTTCCGAGTATCCAACCTAAACCTCCCCTGACACAACTTCAGGCCATTCCCTCAGGTCCTGTCGCTGTCACCACAGAGCAGAGATCAGTGCCTGCCCCTCCTCTTCCCCTAGCAAAGAAATAGTAAGTGCAGTGAAGTCTCCCGTCAGTCTCCCCCAGGCTGAAGAGACCAAGTACCCTCAGCCACTCCTCACACGCTTTCCCCTGAGGCCCTTCACCCTCTTTGTGGTCCTCCTTTGGACCTTTATATCCCTTGGAGCTTTATATCCTTCTTGTGTTGTGACTGAAACTGCACGCACTGCTCACTCAAGGTGAGTGCAGAGTAGAGAGGACAATCTTTATCTCCAGGCTGAATGAGCCATCACCAGAAGCTTCATTCTTTTGGAGATTTTAAAGTGCAGAAAAACGTCTCTTGTTCCCAAAGTTTGTATGTATTTACTGCAACACTTTAATACCTAATTTTATCTAGATTTGGATTGTAAAAATTTTTTTAATATACTATGTTTTGACCTTTTCCAGAAATTCAGTGTATTAATATGTTGCTGTTCCTTTAAATACTAAGCACAATGACTTCTTTTCATTCTGCAAATAAGTCATCTAATGAACCATTTATCACTACATCAGTATACTCGCTGAAGAGCTGTAAAACTTAGCACTGATGCACATTTTAATGTAGCAGGCTACTGTGTGTGTATAACCTACAAAAATCAAGAGTATATTTTAATGTTGCTTTATTACACATTGTCATATAGGTATAAAAATGAAGAAAAGTACTTTTGGGGGTCTGAGAATACATTGCAGGGAAAGTGATTGTATTTCCATAAAAATATTATTTCTTTGTTTCCTTTGAGCATTGTCAAAAATAGAAGAAAAAATTATTTAATTTTATTTATGTTCCCATTTCGTATGTGGATGTGTCAGAGAAAGTACGTAAACCACTACTGATTCAATGGTAATAAGATGAACAAAATTATGTTACTTCAAAATGCTATTTTAACTTAGCATTTGTTTATAAAAATCATTGCAGTGTTGAGCTAATGACACCTTTATTTCATAACCATGTTAAATAGTTAATAATAGTATGTGTTTGACCATCATTCAATTTAATGAAACTTCAGTACCACTTTTTATACTGCTGTTTCATTATAATTTGATAAGACTTGTATTACTTAAAGGTTATATGTCATTTGGGAAAGTTACCATACAACAAAAAAATATCCAGAAATCATTTTAGAGTTGTAAATTTTTAATTGGGTAAGGTAATTTTAAAAATTTCCTCCTTGCCTGTCTGAATACGTTCATTTGCATAGCATAAAAAAATCTTTCTTAGGTTTATTGAAAGCACGAGAGTATACTTCTGTAATTTAGAGGTGTTTTTAAATTATTGCATTCAGAAGCACTCATGAGTTCTTGAAAACATTTAATAAACCTATAGACATCAAATATGATGCTGAAAATAATTTTTATAAAACTCTAATACCTCTGAGTAATGACAGTCTTCCATATTAACCTTAAATTTTCTTAACCTCTTTACAGTATTCATTTGGAGATGACCTGGTTCATTCGCTGCTGCAGCCCCTAGAACGGGAATTACAGAAAACCACACACACATACTGTGGAAGAGTATACAAAGTATTCATAAAGCAGCTAACAAAAAGCATAAGAGACTTGTATGCCAGAAGATCAAAGGGAAGGTGATTTTTGACTCCTAGCTGTTGCATCAAGAGACTGAATTAACATAGGTGGTCAGAAGGTGCAAGAATTCTATTACAGCTTGAATGGGCTTTTAATGTGCCCAGAAAAAAGTTTACTAGCATACATAAAAATGAAGTAAATATTCATGTAATGAAGAGCAAGAATTGTTTTCTGCAACGGTGACTTTCTGGTTTTTTGAAGTTTAATCAGTGCTAATGTTTGTCTCATATCTGATGATTTGGGTGTTACTGGCTTCTATGGTCAGTAATTTTAGTCTGCATAATTCAGTTATCTAATGATAAATGAACAAGGAAGAAATGAAGATGGCTCTGTTTGGGAGTGTACCTCATATATTGTCTAAAATTCTATTAAACTGTGAATGTAGCAATAACTGAGTCAGCAGCACTAACCTCACTTTAAAGGTGTGAGCCTTTATGTAAACAAAGTTGTTTACAAGTGCAGAAAATACTCTCTTGTCAAAGAAATGTGTTTTAATCATTGACAATCTGTATGTGCCTTTATATGTTCATCTCTTACATGTTGAAGTACTGTTTTGACAATCTTGTTTTGTTTATCTCAGATGTAAACTGCACACTATAAATACGATTTTCTGAGAAATTAATGACTAGTATGTGATACTAGCTTTCTCTGTTAGTAAATACAGAGGCTTTATATTAAAAATAATTTGTTTCAACATTTTAGAGCCATTAGCACCAAAAGGTAGAGCAGAACTGAGGGGGTTTAAGTAAAAATCCAGTTTGAAGTTGCTTGTCTTACAACACTTTAAAAAAATTTCATGGTTGTGCAGCTTTATAGTATAGGGCATTTTGAAAATAGAAAAAAAGCCCAGTGGTGGAAAGGTGTTGCTGTTGTATTTCCATACTAGGAATTATTACCTGATGATTGTTATAGAGTATGTAGTACCTAAAAGTGAATACTGTAGTAAGAGTTCTGATATTCAGACTGTGTAGTAGATGGGGTTTTTTTAGAGACTGTTTCCTGTTATAACATCTTTTTTTAATAAATGGCTTTAAAATAGTTTTGGGGCAGACCCTCAACTACACGAACGCATTACTGTCAATAGGGTGATAGTGATTTGCAACAGGAAAGGATTAGGTTTCCTCCAATTATCTTAGTGAAAAAAAGAAAAACTTCTGTTTAAGTAATAAAAACTTTTTCTCCAGAGAAAACCATGAAGAAAAGGGCTGAATTCTAGTGTTACAGCAAAATATTTAAACTTGCATGGTATGAAATGTATTTGTAAAACATATATGAACTTAGATAACCTGTCTAAGTGAGATGAAGTCTTCATAAAGTGAGCTTTTGGATTCCAGGACAGTTCCTGTGTGTTGAACATGGAGGATCCACTCACTGACTTGCACCTTCATCCCAACCCCATTTTAGAAGCTTAATTTTTGTACCTGTTTCCTTGTCAAATATAGACTGGCTCTGACTTCCAGATCCATGTGAGCTGGACAAATGCATTAGCAGTACAAGAACACACTCCACTGTCAGCAGAATTTGTATCCTGCTTCTAATTTCCCTGCGGGCTCAGGGTATAAATTTTTGGGATGGAATCTAGGAAGCAGTCTGCCTCTCATGTAGGTCTCTTCTCCTTGCTGTGTAACCTTTTGAAGCCTGAAAATGTAGAAATCTCTGTGAAAGTGAATACTGTAACTGACTGATTTTACAATATGCAGTGCATTATTTTTTTACATAAATACTGATTTTTGTATCAATTTGTCTTCAGCTTTTCTTTTTACTTGTACTATGTGTTTGTATTTAAAAAAATCTTTTGACTTGTTTTTATGTTTGTCTTTTATAGAAACTTTCAGTTTTTAATTTATTTTTAGGGTGTTGTAGACATGTCAAGATACTCTTAAAACCCAATGGACCATTAAGAAAAAAAGGGTAATGTGGACCTTAGCAGCAATCTTTCCACTTAAATTTCAAATTTTATGGGGCAGTAGAACAAAAAGAATTAATATTGATGCTTATTGTAGCACAAAAATTCTTAATTTGTGCTTATAACTAGAAATATTTACTTACCATGTTACAAATAGCAAAATATGGCCTTATGCCATAGGTTTTGATTAATTTTTTAAATAGAAATGAAAACTGCTCATCTCAGTTCACCTCAAGGTAACACTTATGAACACTTTAGAAAAGTTTTAAAAAAAAGCAAGAAGCTTCTATTAAGTAATTTTGCAGAGTATTTGTCTGTTTCAATACATTTTTAGTTCTCTAATTCCTGTGTTTTAAATTTAGGAAAACAACCTCCCTTTACAAACAAAACCTGAGATCTGGTATATCAGGGGAACATTTAGAGACACTAAAAAGACTGGGAATCCAGATAATGTGACAGAAACCCGTTATGCTCCTAAACATTTGCATACCTGATTTGTAGGTTAGATGCTTAGAAGTGTAGAGCTTACATCTAGCTTGGGAATTCTCATTGCTCTCTAGTTTTACAAACATTGCTTTTTCTACAAACATAGTGAGTACTAACAAATTACAGACCTTTAGGAATCAAATTTTTAATTATTTGTTATAAAGTCATTGTAAAGTGAAGTTTGATAGAAAAATGCAAACATCAGGAAATATACATTCAGATTGACTGAAGATAAATCTGTCTTCCTCATGCTTGATTAGTCTCTATGTCATGGTACCATTATTCTGTCTCTTCTAAAGGGATCACAGTCTCATGGTAAAGAGATCTGTGTGAAGATGTTAATATCTTATCTGGATGAACTTCTGTCACTCTTTGTAGACAGTATGAAAAGCAAGCTATTCCTTCATGGGACTGGAACATCCTTGTGTGTGGTGCTTGTGCCACTGCCAGTTACTAAGGCTGCATGAGCCTTATGAACATGTCTGTCCAGTTATTTGTAGTTTTGCCAAATTTTTTCTGTGGTGATTTTTATTGCCAGTTGCATTGGTTTTGGTAACCTTTTGGTTTAAGCTTAGAATGATTAAGAAAACAGGTTGGGGGGGGGGGAAATATTTTTTATTATTCTTATTTTAAACATATTTTAAAAGAGTATGGAGTTGCCTTGTGCTGGTTTTGACCTAAATTTGTTCAAGTTGTAAACTTCTGGCAACCTGCTGATTGGGAGACTGAGCTGTCAGTGTATTTCTTGATTTGTACCAGATTTCTGTCCATACCAGACATACTCTGACCATTCAGGCTTTCCACACTTCCATCTGTACACTTTACATAACATGATGACTAAGAAGCCAGCTGTCTTTCTTTTCCTCCTTACAGATCATACTTCCTATCTACACAACATGGAAAAGAAAGTAGCTACAATCTAGTGGTGGAAGGAGGATTTGGTCTGGGTCTGCTTGGAAGGTTTAGAGGCAGAACATGCAAGAGCTGAAGGTGTATTGTGTTAGCTGTATGTGCATTCTTGGGCTCTTTTTTGAGTGGAAATAACAATGAATTTCTGCTGCTTATTAACTCACTTTTATGGCTGTCGTGGTTTTTCTGGCAGACCAAATGGGGTGAAACTGAGCACTAACTTCAGCTTATCTGTAGGAAAACACTAGACTTCTGGTTTCTTCTGCCTGGTTTATAAAGGTGCCTCCAAATGCATAGGCATATGTAGAATTTCTACTTCTTAGAAGGCTTAAGTTATTTTTCATTGTTTTCTGATTCAAATGGAAGGATTTTCAACTAGCAAACAGGTTTAACAATAACCATTTATTGGCAGTATGACTTTTTTTTTTACTTGACTAAGTGGAATATTCATGTATAATTAAAATGAATGTATAGGCTTTTTGTCCAGATCTTTTTAGTAAATTATCAGCTTTGGAGTAGTAACTATTTTAACATTCTCTCTCATAGTATCTAATGTGATTATGATAGTTATTGTGGCTTTCCTGCCCACTTTGCTATTTTTGTGAATGGATGGCATTTGAAATGCCCCCAGTGATTTTTTGTGTTAAAATAAGTTGCAGAGAACTGTAATGTGAATGTGTGACTTCTATTTGCAGAAAGTGGATTCTGCTGTAGCAGGGACAGTAGAAGCAGGAAGTAGTGGGAAGGTACTTCTCATCACCATGGATCTTCTGAAAGATCTTGTATCTATCTTATGGCATTTTTACTGTCACTCTGAGCATTTTTCTATGCAAAGGAATGTTTCTGTTTTATTTCTAATCTCTTTGAATATCTTCTGTTTCTTTTTTGGAAGTTCAGTTTTGTCCAGCTGCATTTTTCTGTATATTTGAGAGGAATAACTGAAATTCCTACAGAGTTTTGCACAAATAACAGCTAAGTTATTTACTCAAGTTGTCCAAGTGGGCAAAGCATGAAGCCAGTGAGTAAAAAATTAACTAAACATGAGTGTATGCACCATAGGAAAACAAAAAATGTTTGATCTTTTTAACACTACAGAGAAACATTTGAAAACTTGCTCTCTGTATTCAACTGCCAAATCTTAAGTAATGCAGGATAATTTCCTATAGAAACGCAGGTTGCCTCACAGTTGCATTTAGTTGCACATTTTAGTCCTAGTAGAGTATTCAAAACTATTACTCAGGTTTCAAAACAGAAGATGTTTACAGAAGTAATAGTGAATTTTCCACTACAGGAAGTGAGGAGGAAATCTCATTTTAAAGTAGTTCTCAAAATCTCTCTCTTGTAACCATTTAGTGGATCTATGTAAGAGCAGCTTGTCCTGCAAACTTGTCATGAAATTTAAGATATGTTGGTCTCCTATCTTTTTTCAAGCCTTCGTGGGGCTATTAAAAATTTAAGTTTCTTGAAGGAATATTGAGTAATTGGAAATTCTTATGTTAAAATTCAGTTGTGTCTCTTCAGTTTTGTGGTTGCTTTATGCACAGCTGCAGTCAATTCTTTAGAGAGTCCTCATTTAAACTTATGAATGTGCATCTTCCTGTATATTTGCTTGCAAATTTCTGCAAGGCTTCTTTATGCTCCCTTCTGCCTTTTCCCTGCACTGCTTTTAAAAGATAATCACTAAGCTCTTCATTCATTTGAATGCTTATAAAAATTGCAGGAGGTATTATTACAGGTCTCTTTGCAGAAACCTGTAATTAAAGGAGGACCTGTATTCCTGCTGTGGTTGGGGTTTATTTTTTCTTTTTCTTCAGACTGCTATTTGATGATGTTCAGGTAGGTTTCAGGTTTGCAGCCATTACTAAAGTCATTGTTTGAGTGATCATCTGGTAGTTTCTTCCCTGAATGTCTGTTCTCTTAGGGTAGATGCATGGCTGGTGCCTGCCTACTTCATCCATATGATTGCATGTTTCTTTAATCAAAGCAATGACCATCAGTTCTGTTAAATCTGGATTTTAAATGCTTCTCCTATATCTGGGTGCCACCTTAGTTGCACAAACCAAGGACCCAGTCTATTTCCACTTACAGGTCATAAAATCATAGAATGTAAGTTGGAAGGGACCTTAAAGCTCATCTAGTTCCAACCCCTTCTCCTGGACAGGGACACCTCCCACTGCACCAGGTTGTTCATAGCCACATATAGCCTGGCCTTGAACATATCCAGGGATGGGGCATCTACAACTGCTCTGGGCATGTTCCAGCATCTCACCATCTTCACAGTAAAGAATTCTTTCTGTTATACCTAATATAAACCTTCCCTCTTCCAGTTTAAAGCCATTCCCTTATCCTATCACTAAAGCCTTTGTAAAAAGTCCCTCTCTTGTAGGCCCCATCAGGTACTGGCAGGCTGCTCTAAGGTGTCCATTTTTTATTTAATTTCCTTGTTTTAGTTTCCAGCTAATCCATAGGAATAAAATAGAGGGATAACAAGGAATTCACAATTTTTCACAACAGCAGATAGATAACTACAGATTTCTGAGATATAGTTAACAATTTTGAAATAGTTCTCTATCCTTGAATCTAATTTCTGATTTGGTGGATGTGAGGATTAGTGTCCTGTGTTCATCAAATGATTGGACTTTTCCCTGTGTCAGCCCCTTATGTGGAGGGATGAGCAGATAATTCTTAAAAGACTGATTCCTTGTTTACTGTGAATTTCAAGGAAAAGAACTATAACTTGTCACTGTAGAACCTTAGTATCACCCTATCTAAACTCTCTGAAATAGGAATAACTGCTCCCTTGCTGCTGTACTGTTGTATTGGTTTTATTTGTTTCTTAATGGCCATGCTAAAAGGGGAGGAGAAATGATGCAGTTATTTGCATCTCCTTGTTGGTTCCTGGCCTGTTGTCTTTGAATTGCACATAACCTTAAAAACCAACAACTAA